GCGATTTAATGCTCTGAGTGACACTTCAACTTTACGGACAGACGCGTCGCTTACCACCAGGCAAAAGACTTGTTCTTCACATTAATGGTTTCATACAAAAAAATTGGGAAAGATCTATAATTACGTATTATTCAAGTAAACGGTAGTGCTTTCACAGACGTGTATGTATTTAGGTTAATTGCTTAGACAATTAACTTTAAATTATGTGTGTAATGTAAGTAATATACTGCTTTGTATTTGTTGACTTTTGTGTTTAATGTCAGGCCTTTAATGTATTAGGTAGTAATAAATGTGCTAAACAGTTATGACAAGTAACCATTTAACTGGTGGTACAGCTTTACCAAATTCCAGATAGAATGATAAGGGGAGCCAGCGCAATGACAGATTCAAGAGTCATAACTTAGATCCCACGATTTTTGTACAGCGAATATAATTTTTATCAAGCTGACTGTTTAAGCCAATAAGGCCTGTAACATAGCAATTCCTTTTTTAACCAAGTAGTAATGTCAGCATTACTGTGTTCCGCTTTTGAAGAGCAACAGTGCTGATGAAATTACAGGCACATGGGATTTGTCAACTTATGTCTCAAGGTGACGGGCGCAATAGCAGTGCCCCTCAGATCTTTGCCATTTAAAGGTCTGAGTGGCACTGAAACTGTTATGGACAGGTGTGCAGCTTACCATCGGCGCATTGACATGTTCGTCCCGTCACTTGACATTATTAAAAAGAAAATATTTGTACTATGTAAGTAATTAAATTAGATACAGTATCATCAGTATCCACAATGATGAGAATCAATGTAAAAATGCCTAAATACCAAGTTTACTATAAGTCTATATAAAATAGGAAGGTTTCTTATAGCCACAACCAAAAGCCTGCCTGCCTACATTGACATACACTCATCTTTGTGATATAAAGCTATGAGTAGCTCTGCAACCATTACAGACAGTCATGCCGCTTACCATCAGGTGCATGACTTGTTTGTCCCGTCACTTGGTAACATAAATAGAGTAAATAGAGAGTATGTCTTCTCCCTTGCCCCTTGATGGGCGTACGAAGTTCCATGCTAGGAAGACACAGGTCACAACCAGGAAAAATTTAATTACATACATAAGAACATAAATATTCTCTATTTACACTGTGTTTAATATTGAGTAGAGAGGAGACTAAATTTCTTAACATTACATTAATCAAGTGAATAGTGACAATAATTTGGATTTATTAGATTGGTATGACAAACTCCATAAAAATTTGCACGAACGGTTGATCGAATTTACCTGCAACACCATGTTAAAGTGCTTATTTGAGCCCAGTTCAACAGGAATTGCAGTAGGTTGTCTGGCAGAAATTGATAAGACCCTTCTTACCAATGCCTATATTTTAAAATTGTTTTTGATGTGTTTCCATTTTGGTGTACAATAAAGACAAAAATTCTTTATTGTATGTATCACCAAATGGAAACATTAATTGTAAATAAAACTATGTTGCATTGTATTTGTTATAGTATTTTTGCTAAATAATAGTGACATTTTTACATTTTAATAACTTTATAGTCCACAAATACAGCAAATAAGCTACATCAAATTAATGAACACTGTTGCAACACTCTAATTTTCATTAATACAGCTATTAGTCATGGTTTCCAATGCCAGCATACAAACACACAACTATGCATATTTAGCACTATTCACACATGTTAGAGGTAATCATTGTCCAGTATTCAGAACACTCTGAATGGTTGCCTGGTAGGTACAAATAGGCCATTCATGTTGGTTTTATTGTTGGTATGAATTGGTTTTTTTTAGTTTGTGTGAATTATTTTAATAAATAAACAAATTATTGATTTGCTTTGGGTGTTCTGAGTAATAATAAGAATAATAATAACACACACACTTACAACCCTGCACTAGGGAAACCCTGTATCGTGGGTGCCATGGACACATGCACATTTTTTTATGAGCCTATATATATTAAAACTAAACCCATATAAATACTTATTAGGCCATACAAATATTTCTCCCAGCCCAGGAATGGAACCTGGGAGCTCTGCATGGCATACACAGGTAATTTTATGAATGAAGGTAGATTAACGAAAGAAATACATATATTGAACTAATGTGGAAGACATCATTGGAAAAGAGCAGCCATGAAGATCTTTCTCATATCAAATTGAGAGTGTTCTTAAAAAGGTTGGAATGTGTTGAGAGAAGAAAAAGGGCCTATATGAAAAGATTGATGAATGAAGTGAAGCAAAAGAGGTTTATCAGGATCATGCTAAGTGGTGATCGGTAATCTCAGACTACCACAATGAAAATCTTAGGGTGTGGATGTAAATAAATAAGAATAATAAAATATATTTTAATTTCATTGCTCTTAAGTTTATGAAGGCAATACTGCCGTGTTTACAATATTAACAGTAAGTATGTTTGAAATTCATATGAACTACCATTTTTGTTGTACACATGGCACAATGTACAAGATGGAAATGACTACAAAAATTATAAATATTTTAAAAGCCAAAATTTTTTATTTGTCTGCAATATTGTGCTGGACAAAGGCCTCTCCCTCAAACATCCAACTCCAATAAAAAAAATAGTATTAAAAGTGTTGTTTTATCCAAGAATATCTGAAATAGGTATGTAAGAAAAGTTTGTTTTAACATCAAAATTTATCTACAAGGTTCAAAATGCTAAATCATATTAAGATGGAAATTGGGCTTGTGCAAGTCAGTTTGTTAGGCATCATCATTATTATATTGGTGTTTATGTTCATAGAAAACTTTCCAATCTCTTATGTTATGGTGTAGTTATGGTGATTTCTAAAATTACTATCAAACAGTGAAAGTCACGTGTCTACCATCTTCCACTTTTGACCTTAGCTGGTTTTGGGGGTAATGACACTTTATCATATATACTGTAGATATATTTACTTGGTATCGAGGTTTGAAGTTTCTTATTAACAATTATTACGTTCGTGCTGCAACTTGGTTATATTGGATACCAAAACAAGAATAAATCAATGAGATTCGCTTCCAATTACGACTCAAACTTGTGACATAGAAACATGTATTAGTACTGATAATAGTGCTTACATAGCTCCAGGTTCTATGTGGATTCTCACGCAAACTACTTAACCATCACGATCGACACGTAAATACCTTCCAATAAGTACATTAGAGACACCACTCACCGAAAATGGCTACAGAAGAATCGAAGCCTCCAACATCACCTCATAACGCCTTCAAAATAGAACGTGAGACAGTTTTTTACTCCATCAATTTCCCGTATGCACTTTCCAACAGCTTTTACTAGGCCCCTACTATTGCAAGTAGTACAAAATGAAAATACTATGCGCCTGACGTACCAACGCAAGGGAGCGGTCGGAATGTAATCAGTCTAAATAAACAGAATATTATACATGCGGCCGTAACACAATAACACACGGAAAACAGCACCAAATAATATCAATTATTTCAATCCAAATACCAGGATTTTATCACAATTTCACCCGTAAAATTATAATTTAGGCGACAACGAAGCGAAATCCGTCCCACCTCCCTTCACCAGAAATGAATCATAGACAATATTTTTTTCTACTATTGGATCAACGCCACAAAAACACAAAAAATATTATGTACTGCCTTCTACGTTTTCAAAGAACTTGCATATATTTTACCATAGTGTCACGAAAATTTCAAAAACTAATGCTAAATAACATTGCTTTGCAATACAACTTAGGAAAATAGCGAAAACTTTATTTAATTATTACGTTCGATAATCATAGACAAAAACCATTCATTGGTACCACATCTCACAAGTATCTCGTAGTAAAAAAAATATGATTTGCTCTTTTTCTCCTACCTTCTAAGCCCGTGTTATAACAGAGAGAGATGAATAATCACATCGAGAATAAATCGAGTTGACGTAGAGCCCACCATAAAGAAGAACAATTCTGTAAACTTCTTTGTCTATTCTTATTAATAGAGTAGCATTAATATAATGAGTTGATTTCGACAAATTTTTATTTCAATTTTAGTTTCAATAATTTAGGTCGACTAATATTACTATTACCTGACCAATATTATGTTATAAAATCTAACCTACGTCAAAAGACATATTTAATGTAATTATTTAAATAGATTTATTTTGAAGTATTAAATATTCATACACATTTCAAAACTAAATTCACAACTATGTGGAAGGTCACTTCGTTCAGTGACCATACTTGTCTTAGGGTCGTATTCTAGAACTCTACTCAATGCTCAAGTCAGGATTTGAGTATGGTTTAAAGCACTCCAAATCAGACTCAAGTCCCTGCCATTAGGGTCGTATTTCCAGTGCTTGTGTTTCCAGTGCAATCCTGACTTGAGCATTGAGTAGAGTTCTAGAATACGACCCTTAGTCCCATTTCAATTTAAAAAATAAAAGTATGTGCTGCCGATCAAGTACAAAACTCAACTTCCCAGATCAAATTGACATTTTCTTTTCTTATTTTCTCACTTCAAACCTACGCTATAAAATTAATTCCTCTTAAGCTGTCGCCTTGATACTGTTTAGCATATTATGAAGAGTAGATAATAAGTAAAATTACCTTCTGATTTTTTTTTTTATTAATGTACAAATTACAATTATTTCATAAATATGAAGTATCAAATTGGTTGAGAAGTTGAGGATGCTGTGAACACTAGGTTTAGAGACTTATTTCTGTTACACAAATGAAAAACATTTTCATGGATTCCAATTTCAGAAATTACGAGGCAATAAAATATTACACTAATACTCGAAATTTATGTCGACCTTTTGCTCAGCCCTATTGTAGATATTGCATGTATCTAAATGTGTGTGTGCATATGTATGTTGTTGTGTTGTGTGCGTGGTGATTTGTGTTAAATGCTGATCAAAAGAAATTAATTAAAATCAGGTATATTTTGACGATGAAACTTACATAAATGTGAAAAAAGGAGTGTCTTGTGTTATCAAGTGGTAGTGAATCCGTCGGAAGGCGGTAATCGTGTACGTTTATTAGCTATTTGTGGATTCTGGATCCCGTCGATGTACCATAAACAAAAATGTCAGCGCGATCCCGATTTTTTGTTTCTTGCTGCATACCCATCGTTATACCTTAATTAGATCACACGAATGATATAAAATAGTGTTAGATTCCTCCTCTAGTGCTGGTTCATTTCCCGCACGGCGTGGCTGGAGCATAAAATCGGCCATAATACGCGTGCGTTTGGTGTGCTCTCTGTCTACACCCGATCTAACTCATTGTTTATGTATGGAGAATAAACCTGGAATTTTTATGGGATTTCGCGGTGTATTCTGGTTTTAATTGAATATCTGGGTGTGAGGAGGCGTCGGGTGCGGGAGGGGAGGTGCGGGTGCCATAGTAGTGGTCTCCACTCGTCCTCCCAAGGTTTTCTTCTCTATTTATAATAATCTCTCGATAGTGTGCAGCATAATGACATTCTTGTAATGAAGTGTCGTTGGGATTCGTGGGACATGTGCCAATTATTGAGCTAGTGACGAAAGGCAATTTTGTTTTGTATGTATACAATTGCATTGCATGTATGTATGAATGAATGAAGGACTACACACACACTGTGTTGTTTGTGTCAAAATAAACATTTGCACAGCAAGGACAATGTTGTAGTTTGTACACATCAGTGTAGGTAACTGACAAGGGTAATGTTATAACGATAAAAACATATTTTGTTATCAGTTATGTAGATATTAGTAGTAAGCATTTTTATGTTGCCATATCATAGGGGTTTATTATCTTCAAGAACTTGCTTATATTCAAAAACAATTACCTCTAGCTATGGGTTTCTAACCACAAAACGACTATAATCTACCATTTTCCATTCTTCTGAGATCAAACTGAAATATAAGATTGAAAAACATTGTATTCATGGTAAGAAACCTCTAACTAGCTTCAACTATTTGGTGAAGAACCATGAATATCATAAATTCTAAAACTTTTTTATCAGATCAAAATTGCATATATAATTGTTTTTTCAAACAAACCAATCTTTCAGGCTTTTTACAAGTCTCATCGTCACGGTTGAGTGAAACAAATAGGCACTATTTGGATATGAAGAAATAGTTTTATTTCCTTTTTTTAATTGTTTCACTGTATACCAAATCATGATGCTATAATGTATGTACGTCGTTGTCTGACAAATGTTACAAACTTTAACATCTGTCAGATATCTTCATATCAGTCATTTGTTAAGTATAATGAGGATTATTTTCATTGAAAGAATTAATATTTGTCTATTTTATGTTTCTTATCAATTGAGGGTTACTTCAAAGATATTTACGAATTAACAGTACCATTCTGTAATGTAACATCTTAACTACTAATAGATTTAAACAAATATTTAGAAATGAATTAAGAGAAAATTCTATTTACATAATAGTTATATATTACAGACAAAATTCAATTTGTATATTCTCTTAAATTTTTTTTTATGAAAGCCTATTAAAACAATTATATGTTAAACAAGGACTCAGTTTTTATAATTATTAGGACTGCCTTTTAAGCCTTGACTGACTGCAACCAGTGATCTATTGTTATAATAATTATTTACATTCAATATTGTTATAATTACTGGCTCAAAAGCATGTCAAACTGGACACTTGAGATTTTAAATCAACTTTACCCTGCTTACTATAAGAACAATTCAAAGTGTCAGTACATCACTATGACACAACTAACTAAATATTTTGACTTAAAATGTCATGGCTCTGTTGCCCTCTACGTCTACTTGAAACGCCCTAATTGTGGGAGATAAAACTATCAGAGTTAGGAAAATTCTGGAACTCTGTAGACCTCGACTGCTCCTATTTTTGCAATAACAATAGGACAAATACTGGTTGCAGTGGTAAAAGACTGCATAGGCCTTGGAATGCCACCCGTGCAATGATAATATTATGACTTGTATAATACAATACTCATTGTATTATAGAAGACGTCATAATTGCAAGATCATTTATTAACATCAAGAATATTTTATGCCCCACATTTGTTTTAAAAAAATCGTAATAGACTTAAAAAATCATAAATTTTAAGTTCAAGTTGAGATTTTAAGGTTAATAAGTGTAAATAAGTACAGCATCAAACTGAACTTAGTTTTCGAAGTGGTAGTAATACGATAACTTTACCACATCAATACAATCCAAAGTGCAGTGCAGTTTAATGTCATTGAGATAAGATAATTTTTATTAAAAAAAATCAGACATATATGAAAATTTTTGTAATATTTTTCAGTTCACTCTACTGGAGCTAATTGAAAATGTAAAAATAATTAATTACAATAGCAATTACGTTCTCAAGCCAAGCTGTACAATGTTTTATGTCTGAGTTTCAGTTAGTGTATATGAGATTTCTTTTACCATCACATACTACCTTGAACTTCGCAACTCCTACAATACAACAGAAATGGCACAAGTTGCAATAAACACATCGTTGGCCCCTGATCGTTATCTTTATTATTAATAAACAATGTGTTGTAAAATAGGAAATATTATTTGCAGTCAAGTTGGCGAAGGCACGCAGGGGAATGATAAAGGAGAAGGAGAAGGGCGGCGGCGCCCGGCTCAAGGATGAGCCCAGCGACCCCGCCGAACCCGGTAAGAAGCTTGTTTATTGTTTCAAACATAACATTACAAAATAGATTTACTATATCGCAAATTGTTACATATCGGAAAAAATGCAGTCAGCCCCAGCCATATCAATGATGAAATTACAGGCACATGCGACTTGTCAACTTATGTCTCAGGGTGATGGACGCAGTGGCAGTGCCCCTCAGATTTTTGCGATTTAAAGCTCTGAGTGACACTGCCGCAGTCATAAACAGTCGTGACGTTTACCTGTCTTACACTTCAGTACCGAAACGCTATAATGCTCATATTACTGCTTGGCGGCAGAAGTATGTAAAATGGCAATGCTTCCCTGGACTTTTTCACACGGAGCTCTACTGCTACTAAGTTGTAGTGGTAGAGATTGTACGAGAAGACAACATGAGAGGTATAGAAGCAGTTCGTCCGCTTCATGTCAGAATTTCCAGTCTAAGCACGCATTTAGTTTGAGATTAAACATGTGCTTATAAAAACCAGTGTGTGTCCCAAAGATCAGCCTAATATAAAATGGAACTCAAAAGATTTCCACCTTTCATTGAAGCCGCAAAGAACTGCTGTGTTTCAAGCGTGAGAGTCAGAATGGCGGGTGTCCCTTAACGGAGCCTGACAAATTTGGTATCAAAAAAATTACCTAAATTGTACTATTTAGTACCTCTGTTTAAAATATTTTTACCTCCATCAGAACAAAGTTATACTAATATCAAAGCTACACCAGCCATATTGACAGTTAATAAGGCAAGGTGCACCTTAGATTACCAGTTTTTATTTAATAACTAAAAACTTTCTGAGATATAAAACTAAAATTGTGCAATTTCAGAGTGTCATGTGCATCTTAACAAATCCGGACAAATTTAGTACCAAAAAAATGTACATAAATTGTGCTATTTAGTACCTATTTTTAATAAAATTGTTCCTCTATCATAACGAAATTATGGCTCAATCGAAATTGTAAATGTTTTCGTAATTCTTTTTTAATAAATTTTCCGCCATTTATTTGGGGACGCAAAGGTCCCACCAATCAGCCTCTTTATATGTCAGAATCTATCCTTGTTTTGATTGAAAAGGTGACAAGCACTTGTTCTTATATATACTTTATTTCACATGTCATGAAGGGTTGACGCTATTTAATTGTAAAGGACAGGGTGTGTGTGTGTATATATATATATATGAAGAGGCTGTGTGGTCGAATCTTTGCTTACCCAAATAAATGGCGGAAAAATTATTAAAAAAATATTAGGAAAACATTTTGATTTTAGTTATAATTTCGTTATGTTATAGGTACAATTTTTTAAGGATAGGTACTAAATAGTACAATTTATGTACATTGTTTTGGTACTGAATTTGTCAGGATTCGTTAAGACGCACAATTTTACCTTTATATCTCAGAAACTAACCAGCACATCAGGCTGGAGTTTCTTTTACTTTAGAGTACTATTAAGGTACAAATTTTTGGAATAATAACTTTTTATAGTTGTTAAATAAAAACTGGTAATCTGAGTTACACTCGCCATATTGACTGTCAATACGGCGGGTGTACTTTTGATATTGGTATAATTTCGTTCTGATGGAGGTACAATTTTTTAAACAGAGGTACTAAATAGTACAATTTAGGTGCATTTTTTTGATACGAAATTTGTCAATTTCCGTTAAGGTACACCCGCATTCTGACTTTCAAGTTTCAAGTCGAAGTGTAGGGACAGTCAATGCATTAATTGGCACATCATATATCCCACTACCAGTAACGCATTTTTAATTAAAGGTTTAGGTTTCTTCCACATACCATCAGTAGGGCTCGATAAGATGCAATTTGCTCGAGAGCAACATAAGGCGCGAGATACTGCTATATATACTCGCATAGAGAATAAAAATGCGACGTAGAGCGCGTCTATGTCGTTCTTGCGCAAGTCGCGCCGTGTCGTGCTAGCACTGCAGGTGGACCGTTTGGCTTTTTTGCCAGATACAATACCAGTGATATAACTGTAATTTGAAATAATGCCTTAGGTTTTTTAAATTTTTCTCATGCTTTAATAATCTGTCATTAAAAGTGAATGTCCTGAAATTGGAAAAAGGTTTTCCCCAAATAACTGCTTGCCATAATTTGGGCCTAATGCTACTACAGGATTGTTACTGCTTGTTTTTTTTTTAGCTCAAAACGTCTCTAGTCTCTAAGATATTTAACCCACTACAAAAAAAGGAGGAGTTTCTCAATTCTACAGTATGTTTTTTTTTGTATGTACATATGTTACGCGATAACTCCGGTATTTGTGAACCGATTTTCATGAATCTTTTTTTGTTGGAAAGAGGGTACCTCCATAGTGGCCCCATTTCATTTTCAAGAAAATCATCCACCTCTAAGGGTGGCTGTTCACGCGTGAAGATTCATTTTTATAAATAGAGCCTAAGTTTTATTATAAGGAGCAATTATTTTAACGGTTGATTTTGCAATTCAAGGCGTTTTTCTCTCTCAATATACTTTGAGTACCGATTTTTATTATCTCCTGTATCAAGTCCCGTATAGTGGCGAACTAGGGGATGAATCCGGGTTTGCGCACTTCCCGGTAACCGATTTCAATAAAACTTGGTAATTATGTGTAATTCCACGTTGATTTCCAATTCCAATTTTGAGGTCGGTTTTTTAGTACTCTGTACTGAGATTATTTTACATTTGATACAGTTATAGAAGTTTTTCTTTCTATAGTTGTGTGAAATGTAAAATGAAGATTAATCATATGTCAATTATTACATTAATCAGTTGCTTATTTTTCTCATTACAAAGCCCGTTATGAAATATAGGCATACTACGGTACAGTCAAGAGCATATCACTTTAATTCTAATATCGCCTGTAGCCCTACAGTACATGGTTTCCTGTGGTGGTAAAGCTTAATAAGTTATTGAAAGTTTTTTTTATGATACCCGTGACGGGACGAACAAGTCGTGCGCCTGATGGTAAGCGACACGCCTGTCCAGCTAGCTAGCAGTGCCACTCGGAACTTTAAATCGCAATGCTCTTAGGGGCACTGCCACTGCGCCTGTCGCTCTGAGATGTAAATTGACAAGTCCCATGTGCCTGTTATTTCACCAGCATCCTTTTCTGACATTACTGCTTGGCGGCAGAAATATTTAAGGTGGCAGAACTTTCCTGAGCGAACGCTTACACAAGGAACTCTATTGCTACTAAAAGTTTCAGCCTTGCTGTGTTCTTGATTGTATCTTTCAGTTGTTATGTTTTTAGAATTTTGATATGCTTTTGACTATACCAAGCGAAGATGTTCAGCGTTGTCGACTTTATACACAGAATAATATCGAGTAAATCGTTACATTACTGTACACTACAATAACAAATAATGGTGGTGAGAGTAACCGAATGATGCATGAAATCAATTCACCTCATCCAATATTGAAAATAATCACGTTTGTCGGCTCGTATTGTTATCGCACTTCGCTACTTAAAAGTAACTCATTAATTTGTTTTTTTTTTGTAGTTATTTTTCTGTTTTCTGTGTTTTAAGTGTTGAAATAATAATTTTTTTTTTATATTTACCCGCTCCCTATAAAAGCCGAAATCAACCCCGTAAGTCCATCAGAATTTATGTAAAAGAGTGTTGGTTTTGTCTTTTACTCTCACGTTATATGTAATATTCCCCAATTATTTTGTTATTTTTGAAAAATTACACCTCTAAAAGATTACCCAATTCACAAGTTCAAAAAAAATCAGGGCTTTGCTATACAAGACCAACCAAAATATTTGACATTGAAGTCATGGACTGTGAACTTGTTAAAGAAACATCTAGACGGTATCTAAAAAAGTTATTTTTTATTTTTCTCTAAATCTCTAATTCGGCGTTACTGTCTTTACAACAGAAACAACATTTGTATCTACGACTTTTAGAAATTCAGTAATTCTTGAAATGTAGAAACATTGTCACCTGAAAGACCATCATAGAACAAAAATATTTTGATTTAGTGATAGAATGCCGCGTTAACAAATTTCAGACCATCGCGGAAATAAGTGGCTGATCAGTCTAACACGCATTCTGCCGTTGAGTAACTAATTTTAAAAAAAACTACCAATTATGCAACTGCGATTTCTTTGAAACGTTTTGTTAAGTAATTTGGTGTTTTTTTTTTGTTTTCAATGACAACTGTTTCATAAATAAACATTATAGCCTCCTAATTATTATAATCTGGTTACATTACGCATTTAAATCTGTTTATAGAACAAAGTAACAAAATAGTTACATTAGTTTTGTTAAGAATTTTCATTGTTAACAATTTGTTTCACTAGGGCACGGGTCGCGGCCGCCGTCAGCGTCGCTGCCGACCCCAGCGGCGCTGAAGAAAGAGCCGGACGAGCCGCAGCACAGGGTCAAAATGGAACCGCATAGCCAGACCGGCGGGGAGGACTCTACCGCTGACCTAGGCGTTGATGGCATTAAGACTGAAATCGACGGTCTTATGGATAGTGATGGTAAGTTTATAACACATTTACTGACAAAACCTTTCTAAAAAACGTTTGTGATTGTAATTAATAGATTCAGACGTTGTTAAATGTTCGACACTCGGCAGAAAAATAATATTTTTATTTTTCTGAAATTTCTGCATGAAAAAAATATTCAACACAAGCGCTTATTTTGCAGGATTTAACCTTCACTAGGTTCGCGGAGTACCAAATTAATTTACTCCAATTTTATGTTTTTGATTGATTGTACCTGGTGCGTTGTTAACCACAACTATCTCGATAAGAATCTTCATAGATCAATTACTATAAACTGGCATACCAGTCATCAGAAATTCGAAAAAGAAACAAATTATGAATCTAAGTTATCTGAAATAAATAAATAATAAACGTAACACCCATTATGGTTTTTTGTACTGTAATATTTCTTCATTAGGTGATCCAACAAAGTCGCCAAACTGTGAACTCGGGGGTCCCGGGTCGTTGAAGTCAGAGCGCCTATCGTCAGACTCTAATGATATCCTCGACCCACAAACTGGCCTCAGAACTTCTGGAAACAACTTACAGGTATGTATTGTCCTTCGAGTTGGATATGTTGGTGATTATCTTAAGTTGACAAACGTTAGAACGTTGTAACATTTTGGTTCATTATTAACACAACTGTTACAGTTTATGAAATTAATTTATCTATATCTCGATACTTTGTATAAATTATTCTTTTGGCAAAAATGTGTTTATAACGTCTTAAAATATCGCCGGATAAGCACCTTTCTTAAACTAGACAAAACTGAACGTTTATGCAAATAAATATGCACAGCAGGACGGAAATCCAAACTGCCGCAACCCTAACAGTGGTCCAGAGAACATGGGGTCTTGCCGCATGGGAGGTTCCGGTCCAATGGGGCCCGGCGTCTCTATGGGTCCTATGTCTGCCAGCGAGGCGCAGACTTTACCATCTAACGTCATCAGCAAACAGGCCGGTAGTATGGAGGTAATCATAACATTTTTTAAACATAATTTTAAAGTGGTAATTTACGTTCTGTGTTTTCATATTTGTATACCCGACAAGAGAAAGATTTTATGATTGGTTAACAAGAGAGAGACCATCTTAAAACACTTTTGCACAGGATAATAATTATTGAGCATTCGTGAATGATATGAGCTGCATTTCCGCTACTTCGCAGCTTCAAACTATACTGTCACAGTGCAATGCACGCTAGTTGTACTAGCAGTTGCCGACAGCGACTGCAAAATAGTAGTTACACCGCTAAATTACGACATAAAAAGTTCTGATTTTTGTGGTTTAGTATCATATGAATTGGGTTCAGTGTAATAGAGGGTAGAGCACCTGTAAGACGTATAATGAGTGTCACTGAGTTTTACTGTACCTTATCTAGTCCTAACTCTGCCGAAACGCGGTCTTTGAAGTCCTTTAAAACCTCAAAAGGGACTTCGCGGCCTGCGAAGCATCTATAATTAACATTGTCTAAAGACATTAAATGGAATTTTGTGAAGACTGACAAGTTATAATTGACCTTGAAATAGTGGCGCACGCATTGACTTTTGACATTAACGTTTTTTTAACGTCACCAAAAGAAATTAGTTCTTTTAAGTTTCCGCAACAAGGCAAGCGTTCGAATATAACTTATCAACCCTGTTCAATCAATTCAACTTATGGATCGATTAGCATTTTTCACTGCTTATGACATGTATTGTGATATTTGTTAATAGAATATTTAAAAACTCTGATATTTTCCCAGCAGCAAAGTCAGATCTTCGTGTTTTCTACGCTGTTGGCCAACAAGGGCGCAGAATCCGTGATATCCGGGCAGCACCACTCCATTATTGCGTATCATTGCGCGCAACCTGGCACTAAAAAGTATCTAGAGGTACGGTGTTGTTTTTTGTAATTAAGTCGTTTTGTTTTTTAATTAGAAATTGAGAAACTTTAGTGACCCCCTAGTGCAATGAGTCCAAAAGGATGAATAATTATTAAATCTGCGAGACGAATAAACGTGAGTACAAGTTATATTACCGTGTTATGAGGTTTTTAGTTTTTTACATTCTACTATTTGTTTACGTATTAGCCGATACTTTGTGCAATTAAGAGATTTTCACTTAATAACATTCCTTTACAGAAACACCCTTTGAAAATGGGACAATTCAACAAACAGAGCCCTGCTCAATGGCTGAACAATCTTGCGATGTCTAGAAACCGCAGTGGAGTCCGAGGCGGTCCTAACATGATGGGTGGTCCTAACCAAATGAGTCACATGATGGGCGGTCCAATGGGCCCTAATATGGGTCCGATGGGACACAGTGGTATGGGCCCAAATATGATGGGTCCGAACATGATGGGCCCAAACAGATTGGGTGGTCCAGGCACTCAGATGATGATGATGAAAGGTGGGCCCGGCCAAATGGGCCAAATGGGACCCGGGATGGGCCCGATGGATGGGTTTCCAGGGGGCACCCCGTCCTGTGGTGTCATGGACGGCCTCGGTGCTGATGGTGAAATGCCCTGGGACACCGTAAGTATTCCTTGTTCTTTGGATTGTGTATTTGGTTAAGTAGTAAAGCATTCCAAAAAAGTTATATTAAAAGTGCCAAAAACTGCAACAGTCACAATAAACCTTTAAGTTTTAATCTTGCATTCGACAATTTAAATGCTATGTATCTTACAGAAAAACCCCTCCGTAATGCCTAATGGCATGGCAAACGGCTGTGGACCCATGCCTCCCTGTTCTGAGGGTAATGCCACATCGGCCGACACTCCAGCTACCAGTGGTGCCCCATCTGATCCCACTGGTGGACCTGATGCATCTTGCCAACAACCTGGCCCTAAAGGTATGATGATTAATATTATGCCAACTATATAAAACAAGCTTAATCTTTAGTTCAAGGTTAATTCTCTAACCATTGCTTCTAATCGTATACCTGTGTAACTCATCATTCATGGTGTGGTATTGGTTGTTTCACTCTCAAGTTGAAATTACTTGATTGTGCTCGTTTTTACAGGTGTGAAAATTCCAGATGAAAACCTAACACCACAGCAGAGGGCGCACCGCGAGGAACAACTGGCGACGATACGCAAAATGCAGCAGATGTTATTCCCAGAGAGTGGAGGTCCCAACAGCAACCAAGGTCCCGGTCCTGGGCCGGGCGACAACAATCAACCACCCAACGACATTAACCCGCCCAATTCCACCGCCAACATGAACATGCCTTTCCCACCTATGTCTGGCATGGGTCCAAATGGCCCAATGGGCTCTGGACCTAACGGCCCAATGGTATCGATGTCTAACAGCATGAGTTCTGGACCCAGTTGCACAATGTCGGGACCCATGGGCCCAAATGGACCGATGGGTCCTGGACCAATGGGGCCTGGTGGTCCCATGGGTCCAAACGGACCTATGGGTGGTCCGATGGGTGGCATGGGCGGGCCGGGTGGTATGGGGATGGGTGGGCACGGCTCTATGGGTCCTAACGGTATGATGGGCCCTAATGGTCCTATGATGCCGGGCATGGGTCCAAACGGGCCTATGGGTCCAATGGGACCTTGTGGGATGAAGGGAATTCGTGGTCCTTGTGGTGGCCCAGACATGAAGAGTGGCATGTGCACAGATATGCACATGGGAAGGGCGTGCGGAGGCCCCATGGGGGTAAGATTCTTAACTTTTTAATTTGTTTTTATCATATTTTGTAGATAGTTCAAAGTAGCTCTTGGGAGACGTGTTTCTTTTAATAACAGGTGTTTTATTAGTATTGCGACGTGAAATAAAGTCGTAGTTATCATACAAATATAATTAGGTTACTATAGCTGTATTATTCTAGATATTTCCAAGAAATATTTAATATCCTTTTTTCTTTTTGTAGCGAATGCCAAACCCCATGGGCGGAATGGGTGGGCCTAAACCTTGTATGATGGGAGGACCTCACATGGGCCCCAGGATGATGCCAGGACCTAACATAAATGCAATGAATGGTTAGTGCTTTTTTTTTGTTGATGCATATGAACAAAAGCTTAAAAAGAAATATAACACATTAGATATAACGGATTCCATTTTTTTGCCAGAAACGAGTATACTGTACTATATGGTTTATCTGCACAATTGTAAGACGTCTATGAGGAGGAGTCTTTTCTCGTCAGATGTTTAGTCAGGATTGTCTTCAGTCGTCTTTTGTCCATAAGAAAGTTGGTCTAATTTTGATTTTCTGACGGTCTAATAAGTCTGTCTTTGTGGCCAGTCAGTCCGTTGGTCATCCATAGAGGCAGGACGGAGGATATATGGAATAGGCTAGGGTAGGTAGCAAAACGCCCTTGGATACTTATCCTGTAGTGAACCATTTGTGATGATTTGATATACCATGAACTAATTTGACAGGAATAGTCTTTTACTTCATGCCATTTTATACGTCGACGCCAGGATGCTCTGTCCAAGGTCGTCGTTGATGATAATATTCAAGGCGTTGCGTAACTCCCCGTACTGCTCATTTTACAATGTAAAAAAGTTATGTTTGAATAATTTTTCCATAAACTTAACTTTTGACTTCCTCATTTTTTACCTCATATTTTATTTGATTACCTCAGATCACAAATCAAAATACAAAGTTTGGTCTCCCGTTACGATCTCGGCCTCAAGCTGCTTTAAATCATCTCAGTTGTGTGTTGATACAGACTCAGTAACAGAGTTTTGTATGTTTGGTATTCTGCTAAAATTTAAGAGGAGACTGATCAGTGGCTAGCCATCGAACTATTCAACTGCCGTTGAAATTTTTTAGTATTCTGTTCTTCAATGGAGAGTCGATGGTACGTCGACATATGTTATCGATTACGACTACGGTGTCATTGAGTATATAACCAGAAACAGAGACGAAATCTCATGTAATTTGTTTGAAAACTATTCTCCGATTGGCCAGCCCGAATTCGAAACAATTGATGGGTGTCATCAATTGTTTCACTTCAAACGAGCAGTTTAGCTTGAGCTTTGCTATAATGTACGAAAATTGAAAAATTACATATTTAATATTTAATTACCGATGAAATTTGATTCCGTTTGTTTTATAATTGGATGTTTTGCTCTCTTTATCTCTATTTCTGGTTATGTACTCGATGCGTAGTCTACTGACTTTTTGACATATAAAAAAAATAAAAAAATTGAAGACTAAATTGCAGATTAATCGAGATAAAAATTACGTTATGCATAGTTATGATGGTAGTTTTAGTAAGGCAACATCAATTGTTAGTAATTGAATGAATTAATGCCATCATTGCTGTTCCACTGACACTCTATTAAGACACAACCACCATTGCAACTTTTTCATAATTGCAATAAAATATCAGTGAAATCGCAATAGAATTGCAATGACCAATGGTTTCAAGAAAATTAACTTGGGGTTTTTGACTCTGTAGAATTGTATGTTTATGCTAGTTTTAAATTTCGTAGGGCCGAATAATTCCGTGCGTAGATTGTACAATTTGAGCGGATGCCAAGAAAGCTTCGCTCGCTGCACTTTGCTCGGTGCGTTTCGATGAATTTTTCAAATATTTTAGCTGTGAACTTGATTCAATATGACGTTGTTTTTACAGGTGGAATCATGATGGACGGAAGCATGATGGGTGGCATGGTCGGGCATGGCGATTGCCCGCCTGATCACCACGCTATGCCCAATGGACCCATGTGTGACGAATATGGACGTGGGAGAAATGTAAGTCATAACTATAACCATAATGCACAATGTTATCGATATGAATTAACTTATAAGAAGTATCAAAATTGATCGGAAATTATATATAACTTTATCTCTTTTTGTTTCGTGTGTTGTGTCACGCATCGTTTCTGCCCAAGTTAATGCCCAAATCGCAAACATGAAAATATTATTGTTCATAATAATTTTATTGAGAACTAAGTTACGCTTCGGTACAATCGGTCTACTTTCCCGATCGGTCCACTTTCACTATTCATCTACTTTCCCGATCGGTCCACTTATCCAAATGGTCCACTTTCCCAATTCTTCTATTTCCCATTTCGTCTATTTTCCCGATCGGTCCACTTTCACTATTCGTCTACTTCCCTATCGGTCCACTTGTTTCTCCCGATTCGTCCATTTCCCATTTCGTCTACTTTCCAGATTGGTCTACTTTTCCGTTCGGTCCACTTGTCCAAATGGTCCACCTTTTAAGCATGTAAATTAATAACATTTTACAAAAAAGAATCCGTTTTACAAATTTTCAAAAGCAGTTTGTAATTGCGTAATTGCAGATTATCATGGAGTACATTTTTTAATATTTTTAATAATGATGGCCGCTTTACGGTAATCATGATTTGAGAAATCAAAATCAAGTTACACGGTTAGTTTTTAACCGATTTCAAAAAAGGAGGAGGTACTCGATTCGACTGTATGTTTTTGTATATATATTACACGATAACTCCGGTTATTTGTGAATCGAATTTAATGATTATTTTTGTTGGAAAGAGGGTACCTCAGTAGTGATACCATTTAAATTTAAACTAAATATTCCACACCTAAGGGTGGCAAACTAGGGCGACATTCCGGTTTCGCGCACTTTCTGATAACCAATTTCAATAAAACTTGGCAAATAGATGTAATTCCACAAACTTTTGAGGTCGGTTTTTTTAGTACTCTGTACTGAGATTATCTGAGTAGACGCATCATGAAAGTAGACCTATCGGAAAGTAGACCAAGCGGGAAAATAGACCAAACAGGAAAGTAGACGAAATGGGAAAGTAGACCAAACAGGAAAGTAGACGGAATGGGAAATAGGCGAATTGGGAAAAACAAGTGGACCGATCGGGAAAGTAGACCTATAGCACTTGTTCCGAAAATAAGTAGCTCTAAAAAGGGAACTAAACTTTCTTTCGCACAATACACGAAATTTCAGAAACTCAACTGATCTGTTAAATGTTACATATACAGATGGGTCCTGGTGACCCCGGCGGGTTGGGCCCAGGCGTCCCCGGTGGCCTGCACAAAGGTCCCGGTGGACCTATGCGCAGTCCCAAAAGTCCCAGCGCCGGCGCAGATATTGATTGGCAGAAGATACACCACCAGTTCTTTGAGGACCCGAAGTCTATGGATAATGAATTGAGTGAGCAGATTTAAATATTATAAACACTAAATTATGTTTGTGTACGGTCGACAGCTATTCACTTTTATTCGTATATCGTCTCTACAGCAACGGAACAAGATCCGTCATTGTTTGGTACGCTGCCGTCCGCCTTGTACAATGTTTGGTATTTGTTAAAATATATTTAAAATGTTAAGTATCCCTGCTTAAAATGTTAGGTCATTGTTATTCTTTTTATTTACATTATTTACGTTGTGTAAAGAAAGATTATACATATTTGTAACAGGTACACAAGTGAAATCTCCCTGTTCAGAAAGAGGCGGTTGCTTGCCTCCGCCACCGTACGGTGCTTCTCCCTTACACCGATCTGCCTCTGTACCTATTGGTGAGTATTTTATTTAATAAGCATTCTATCTACCCTTTTGTTGGAACAAATGCGCTACGCTTTTAAACCTTTCAATATCAATGATCCTGCATAGGTGGTGGATCCTGCATAAGTGGTGGTGGTGATGAACCAGGCTCCTTTTTCTCTTCAGAGGCGACTTGTTCAAGTAGTCCTCTACCATCTAACTACTATGGAGGACCTGAAAGAAACGTATTCCGTTTCTATTAAACAGCTTACCAGAGGTTATTAGACATGAAACTAAAAAATATGAATTTAGAAATTTGTTGAAAGATTTGTTATTTCACAAATTGTGTGTCAGGCTGAAGACTGCTCCTCAGATCTTAGAGTGGCACTGCAACTACTATTATTGATCCAAAATCGATCAACACAAAGAAAAATTTCTTCGGTCTGACTGGACTCGAACCTACGTCCGTTGCCATACCGGGGCTACCGTTCGTACCAACTGAGCTGTTATATAAATATGTATATGAATAATCATGGTATCAAGAACATCATGATATTCAATTAGAGAGTAGCAGTAGAGCTCCTTGTGAAAGAGTTTGTTCAGGGAAATACTGCCACCTTACCTATTTCTGCCAACAAGCAGCAGCGTTATCATTACTGCGTTCCGATTTTGATGGGTACGGGTGCTGGTGAAATTACAGGCACATGGGACTTATCAATTTTTCTCATCGTGTCGGGTGCAGTGGCAGAGTGAGAGAGGCCCTTCAGATATTTGTGATTTAAAGTTCTTGAGTGGTCCGAGTATATAACCAGAAATAGGGACGAAATAAGGGCCTTCAATCCCTGACAACTCATCAAGTAAATGGATCTTATATCACTTTTAACTATCGACTCACTTCAATCACAAATTAGAAAGCTGAAATAGTACAGCGCCAACAACTGACCGGTGTTTACGTCTCCGTATATTCCAAAAATATTCTGTATTTATTGTAATGAAGATAATATCTTTAAGGGAGCTGTTCCATTTGGTGGTGTGGGATTTTTCCCAAGATTGTTCTCAAGCTTTCTTGACAACACCCGTCAATTGTTTCCAATTCGGGCTGGCCAATCGGAGCCCAGGCGTCACCGTAATGATTTGGCAGCATAGTTATCAAACAAATTAAATGACATTTCGTCTTTATTTCTGATTATATACTCTTGTGCGTGTGAGTGATACTGCAACTGTAGGGATAGGCGTGTCGCTTACCATCAGGTGCACGACTTGTTCTCCCGTCACTTAATTATTATAAAAAATAAAAAATGTATCCACGAGTTGTTCGTCACGACACTTGATATCATAAAAAAAAAAGATGGCACACAGGTTCACTTTAACACTTCTCATCTTGTTAACACGCCTTGCTGCTTTTAGCTTAACATAACAATGAATACGACAGTGTCTCAATCAACAGCGACGCAATCGCCAAGCCATGGGTCCGTGCCGATGACGATGTCGGCTGAAGCCTCACGTGCAGGTTCCGGCATCAATTCACCCGCGCACTGCAAGCCTGGACCTAAACCGGACGCGCCAGGTTAGTTTGCTTTAGTTTACTAATATGACATAGAAGAGTACAGAGATATTTTGAATTAACCCCGGATCACCTTACGAGATATTCCTATTATTAAAAGAAACATTTCTTTTTGTTCTACACATTTCGAAAATTAAAAAAAAAAATCTTTACATCCTGCATCAGCTATTTCATTGAAGCTGTATTGTCAAATCATATAACAAAAGCTGTTTGTTTTAATAATACGAATGAACTTGTTAAGAAGTCTCGGGTTAATAAAAAATAATCCTCTTTACTTCGAGCTTGAGTTAAATTGAAGATGTTTGCCTAATTTTGTCGGGATTATAAGTTATTTTTTATTTAAAAAGAAAGCGGAACAGATTCTCTGTCAATTAATAACAATAAATGTTTTGATAAATAAGAGAAAAAACGACTCAACTATATTTTCCTAACATACCTGCAAATATTGGCGAATGGACTGAATTTAACATTGTGATTGTGGAAAGAGCTAAATGACAAATGCATGGAACCTAAGCCGTTCATGCTAACTTACGAGTATACTTTTAATTGTTATTTAGCTCAATCCTCTCTACTCATATTTAGGGATTATTGCGTAGTTAAAATCGGTATAGAGGGTTTTAGCCTCGTATGAATGGAATAATAGGACAGAAATTAACTTCACAATGTTATGTTACTAATTTACGATTTTTTTTAAGTCGTCTAGTTACAAGAGCAGTAAATCAAATATAAATAAAGTTGTTGAAAACAATGAAAACGTCCTTTTATTCCACTACATTCCACTACACGTATTCGGTAAGTCAAGCATTGTCGCATGAAAATGTAATAGTAAATAGAAGCCATAGAAGTAGAACGCATGCTCTCTAAACGTGTGTTAGACATTTTCCCAACCACAAAGAATTTATTTTATTTTATAGTTATTCAACGCATCAAAATTCGCGTGTTAGTGTTTTATTTTTATTTTTTTTCTGTAGTTGTAATGCGTATTTTTTGTTTTCCCCCCTCCCCCGCAAAACGCTTGACGCTTGAAATCCCAACGTGTGATGAAATAACAACGAATTTGAAACTGTGAATCTGCGACTGGTTTGAAAATTGGCCATAAAAGAAATACTAGAAAAACTCGACGACGGAGTGTTTGTGCGAACACTGCAATGCCTGGCGGCGCAACAACAGAAGAACCAACAGGCTGGCTCGCACTCGAAGGAGCCCAGCCTCATGCCGGTACCTTCCCCGCAGCAGATCTCGTATCTCAACCAATTCGAAGGTAACTTAGAATTAAACTTTTGGAATTCTGAAAAATTTTGTGCAAAGACGACAATTTTCAATAAAGTGTTTCAAGATTGAAATTATTTAATCTTAACGATGCACTATGGTGGCGCGATGTGGGATTTCTTGAAACATGGAATGGGTAAATTTTTACGAAGCAACCCTTTTTATGAGTACATAGTATTTTCGTATTTCTATGTTTATAAACATTGCATACATTGGTCGGTTTTTCGGAACCCAACTGTTTAGTCGTTAACAGAAATAACACTAAACTTCCATTTTACAACTTGTGAAATGATTTCTGTTTTCGACATGTTCTGTTTCATATCATACGCTTTAAATGTTTCTTTTATTTATATACAAAGCTGTTTTACAATTCTCAATGTGCGTATTTTAGTTATACGCAATTCATATTTGTTTTTGGCCAAGAAAATGAATATGGTTTGTGTAATTGTGTGTCGTTGGTGTGTTTTTGTTTGTTTTTACTTCTGTTCTGTTCATTTTGGTGGTGGTTGGTGAAAATGTGCTAACATGACCTTCATACTCTATGGCTAATTTGTTCTATCATTCTACAGGCCGATAAGAATTGTTGTTGAATATAGCATTAAGGTTTATTTACACTGACGATGACCTTGATAAAATTGTCAATTGTATCACGGACGCGTGTCAAATTTTATTACTGACGCGTATCATATTTGTTTCGATGCGAATTGATACGCAATCATGTGATACGCGATCGTTGCGTAGTCGAATCATTTCTGTAGAAAGTTCTATTATATCTCATTTAAATAATTTGAAAATTATTTGGGTTTATAATTCGTAATACCATCGACGTGATACTACACGACTCTAATAGTAAAAACAATAGGAAGCTATTTGGTCCTCGCTATATTCCTAATAATCCTTGTCATGCCAAACATGTATATTGTGAATATTTTTTATGTATCATTGTTTATCAAAAATTATTTTTATTCATGAATAGGACAAGAGTTGACGATACAGAAGCAGCCAAACACGTCGTTAAAAGACAACGGCCCGCCTTCAAACAGTGGTGGACAAACGCCACAGTCGAGTTCTAATCAGAAATCACCTGCTGGGTAAGTGTTACCAACATTAAAATTAAATTAAATTCTTTGGAGGTAAAGAGTCAAACTGTCCGTAATCATAGTACCCTTTTACTGTATTGTCTTTTGATAATTATGTAAACAAAGACTCATTAGTCGTTAAACTTTAAAAGTTTCTGTATAAAATAATTTATATTCGAAGTCTAAACTTAAAATTAATACTCTACGTCTAATAATACTCCTAGTGCGGGGTGGTCAAGTATATCTTGGTATCTAGCCCAACCAAGACTGTCAGGCATGACATATTGCCCTCATGCTATCAAAGGGAACCTGTAATTCAAAATGAAAACATTACAGAACGCTGCGGGTGTTAGTGATTCATTCTTTTACACACAAAAATACTATATTTATCGCCAGGCTATAAATATAGTATAATGTCGACCTCGGTAGCCCAATGATTAGTATGGGCGCTAGATGAGGAGGTCACGAGTTCTCAAAATTATGAGATATATTTGTTTGCGCCGGGACTAGGACAAAATTTGACCTTTCTCTTTTATTTGATTATAATAATTGACTTGAATATGTGTATAATTATTTTTTTAATTATTATTATTTTAATATTAATTTTAAAGAGACGTTTCTTTACCGGACGTTTATACACGGTAATTGTATCGTGTAAGTCAGATAAAAGTTTCTCTCTGATATGGTACTCTTTTAACCTCAATGTTCGTGTTGTTAATAGGAGAAATAAGTTATTTACAATTCCATTTTTGTTTTTGTCAAACAAATCTAGGCTACTATAATTTCGTCAAAAGTTGATATTCTAGAAATACCAGAAATAATATATACACACGGCCCAATCAATGCCCTAATTTGGTATTTAACAATAGAACGATGTTTGTATGAGCACACAGACTGTTTAATAAATTATCAAATGTTTAAAAATTGTTTGAAAATTTAAAATGAAATTTCATAATTTGTTAGTTACTCAATGCTACTACAATATTGATGATTTTTTACTTGATAAAAATGTGAAATTTAACTAATGTTTGTTATATTTGACTTTCTATTTTTATAATTTATAATTGAACTTTAAATTGTTATTTATGCTTGTGTATAAATTTAACTTTAAATGCGTGCTATATTAAAGGTGAAATAGAAATGTGTATAATATTCGCGTGTCAGGTTTTGTTGAAATAACATCTTCATTGTTAACTACATTTTTCAGTGAACAAATATCTTGTATTCTTGTATATTAACGTTGGAAGTTTCCAATTCCTAACTTGTCAACGAGTAGAATAGTATTTGCGGTTTACATAATCGTATTTCCTGTCAACAGCATGATGCCAGGTACTCCAGAGCCACACTCGTCACTGTCAGAACAGCGTGCGGGTAGGTTTTCAATGGAGCAGAGTCCAGGGTTCAACAATCCACAGACACCAACTTCAGCAGCAAGCACCAAATGTGGACAGGGTATGTTGTTGTTTACTTAATAAAATGACGTTTTCACACTAGACGACAAGATAACGAGAATGACTTTGATATGCACCTAATTGTTGATATAAATAAGATAGATAGATAAACACTTTATTGCTCACACACAAGAACAAGAATAGTACATAAACAACTTAAAACTAATGTGGACAAAGGCGGTCTTATCGCTAAGAGCTATCTCTTCCAGACAACCTTAGAGTTAGAGGAAATCTAATCGGAGCGGGAGACGTAGTGTGCGAATTTTACAAATATAAAAATATAAAAAAATAAATTGTATAAATTAAAAAAAAAACAAAATAAAGAAATTAAATAAACACACATAGTAATTTGTAAAAAAATTTTGTTCAATTAGTAATCTTTACTGTGTCATGTCGTCTAAACTGCCGTCGGCTAGCTAAATCGCGGTTAAGTGACAAAATATTTTTTGAGACATCACAAAAAAACCATAACCTTGTTTTAGAATATTGAAATTGTTTAATGATATTTCAGGTGTGCATCGTTAGGGTAAGTTCCGATAAGTCGAACACGTTAACTAATTTTAACTGGTTTTAAAAGAGCATTTTGTGCTCTTTGTTTTTCTACTTAAAACGGATATTTGACCAATTGTCAGGTAGCCGCGTTTTAGTTAGTGGCAGTAAAGTGACTCTACTCCATTAGATTTCTTGTAAAGAATAATGGAAACTTATAATTTCGTTAGTTGTATATATTTTCTTAAGATTAACATGCTATATTATATGAGGCCATGAGAACCATAGTGGCCTAACTCATTTTTTTACAATATTGAGTTTATGATTTTTTCCAGTTCAAATTGATCATTTTGATAGAACCAGAAAGGCCTAAAAGTGATACAACGAATTTTCACTAGATGGCAGCATAATCATTGTTATGGTTTTTAGTCTGTGATCTAAATTTGAGGTGCCATACTGACCTAAGTAAGATAGGCCACTATGGCTTGTCCATTGAATTAGGCCACTATGGTTCTCATGGCCTCATATGTTCTTAAGTCATTTGTGAATATATCTACTATACTGTCCAATTACGTAATTTAACAAAATATCCATAAAAAAAACCTAAAAATCTGAAATCTAATTTTCCTGTTTTCTATCTATTTATTATAAAGAAAATAGGAAAATTAAAATTTCGTAGTTACATGTCATGTACCTGTTTTATAACCATATGATTTGCAAATAAAGAATATGAATATATTTGAATATGAACGACGTTAGCATACATTTTCACACATTAACAATTAATTTACTCATTAAATTATTTAAATAAAAATAAAATTTATTAATGATAGAAGTATGTAGAATTTTTGATAATATAATTTTTTGTTAACATAACTTTAAAGTCTCATTCCTGATATGATTAGATAGAATACTTACGACAGATATTCGAATAGTTCTTAAGCATTATTTTCTAAAAGGAATTCTGTTATTGAACAAAAATTTTCTTTGAATATTTATTGCACAATACAGGTAACTTTACATACGTGAAAATACTTTGAAACTATATACAACTTCAAAATGGGATCGCCCTAACAGGTTTATGTTGACCATTAAACTTGCGCTTTGGCTTTGACTTATCCCAGGCAACCTTGGGGTAGTGGACGTATTAAATATACCATACTAGAAAATATATATGTGCCATAAGCAAAAGATAAATTAATTAATCACGATAGAAAAATAGAACGTTCCACACAAAAAAAATGTACAACTTGCATTTCCAGATGAAAAGTCTCGCCCGAGTCCGTCATCAAACCGTTCGAGTCAAGACAGTGCATCAAAAACTCCTCAAAGAGAATCCTTAAGCCAGGGCCCCTATGCGCCGGCCTCTTCGGCCTCGTCCTGCGCCGGAAGTGTTAAAAGTAGTTGCAGTATTGCCAGTAGCACAGCTAATACTACGCCTAGTGGAGCTATGGATGATAGTAACACCGAGGTTTGTTATTACGCGAGTAGAAAAGAGAGAACAGCAAAGCTATTAAGTAACATTTGTACCCTAAAGTGCTAGCCTGGCGCAATAGAACTATGATCTTGAAATTTTACACATGGTCTCAATTTTACTTGCGGCTTTGTCGTATCTTAAATGATCGCTATTTATTTTTGCTCAAGACCGTAATTATATGAAAATTTTTTTTTTTAGACAACGTTATCAGGTGGTCCAAACAGCACAAGTTTGCCCGGCCCGTTCCCTGGCCCATGCAGTATGAACAGGCCAGACAACATTCCCATCAACCCCAACCAGGGTCCCAACGGCCCAATGGGCCCCGCTACCTCTTCCTTCGACCCTATCTCTTCATTGGCTCAAATGTCGCAGCAGTTAACTAATACAGTAGGCGGTGGTGGTCCCGGACCTGGTGGCCCTATGGGACCCAACGGCAGCGGTATGGGGCCCTTCGGCTCGGGGCCACACCATATGCAACATCACCATTCTATGCATCCACATGGACATCCTCATATGATGATGAACGATCTTGGTAAGTCACACAATCAAGGAATTTCTAATTATGTATTTGAACTTGTTTAACAATTGTTAACTTTCCAGGATGTCATATGGATAACATGGGAGGCCCAGGAATGGGAGGACCTATGGAAGGAATGATGGGGGGCGGAGATTTCCCACCGGAAATGAACTTAAGTCCAAAAATGGGCGGAGGACCCATGGGTGGACCTATGGGACCCATGGGCCCCGACGGATCGATGATGGGCGGACCCAGAATGGGTGGCCCGGGCAAGATGCCTCCTTTCAACGGCGCAAACGTTCAAGTAAAAGCGAGCGCGCCGAACACGATACAGTATTTACCGACGAGGCCACAGATGCCGTGCAACTCGGGACCTAGAGGTCCTCCCAGCCTAGACTTCTTGCAGCGAGTCACGAATCCGATGCAAATGGACAGCAGTAAAGGCGGCATGCAGTACTTCCCCGGTGCAAGGGGCGTGGAAATGGAAGGCGGCATGCGCGGCATGATGCGCGCGCCCGGCATGCTGCGGATGCCGCACTACCCCACCGGCTTCAATTCACCGCCGAAGATGGGCGGTGAGCCCTTCGGCGGGCCGGGGCCAGGCCCTAACCCCATGTGTGGGCCCGGGCCCAACTTCCGCGGCGTCAAGGGCGGTATGGGGCCTGGCAACGTGCGCATGGGCACGGGGCAGCCTCTGCCGCCGTCCATGGGCGGGCCCAACCCAGGCTTCAAGGGGCAAGGCTTCGCGGTGCCGTCCACGGCGGACCCCAACTATGCGGCGCAGTTCCACAACTTCCAGCAGCAGCTGTACGCCACGGGCAGCCGCGCCGCGCAGCCGCACCAGGGCTACCCGCCCTACCAGCCGTCCAAGTGATGACCGGTGCCCCGCCCCGTGCCCTGTGAATAGCCACCGCTTGTGATATGGACACTGCGAGACGTCTCTCGGTCGGCCCCGTAGCTCTACCATACGGATCTACGCTATGGCCTGTCGATACTATTAAGTTTTATAATGTTCTTTTATATTGCAGACTGACCGGAGTTAGTGTTTTTCGCTGTAGAGAAACGTGAGCGTACTTAATGTATTTTAATTATACACCAGTGAATGAGAGATCAAATATTTTGTTAGTGATTTTTCGTTAGTCCGAGTTTTAATGAGATTTTTCATAAAAATGTGTTTTTCGAATTATGTTAGCGTATTTTGATTAGGTCGTTATTCTAGGTTTCTTGACTGAGCATGATTTTAGTGAATGAGAAAGCATTTGTACAAATTGTACAAAGGTTTTAGACGTGTTGTCGTATACTCTACATAATTTAAAGTACAGTTTTAGACATATTTTTGCTTATGGCAATGACTTAGATTTTAGAGAATTTTTTTACACAGACAATGCCAGAATTTCAGTGTATTGGTTCCTTTACTTAGCTATTTTTATGTATGATTCCTATTCACACAGTTATCTAGTCAATTTTTGAAATTAATGACGCCCAACCCTGTGTCAAAATGTAATCGTTGTTCATTCGAATCCGCAACTTGGGTACTTTTAATAACTCGGAAGTACATATTTTAGTATCAATACTTTTTGTCCATTTTAGTTTAAGAGTAATTAGTGAAATTGATTTTTTATATTATAATAATTGTTTGGCTTTGTGGCCAGTATACTCTCGGAATTAGTACCAGTTTGTTGCTATGACTTTCTTTTATTGATCTGAATAGCAATGTTTTTTCTGTCTTCCAATACATAGACTCTATACAATAACGAAGAGTACATTTTTAAACATTTTACGCTTCATTGAAGTCTTGCTTTTAATTTATTTAAAAGTACTTAAAAATATCTGATGCCATATTGTTTGCCACATGAATTTGATTTCGTGATATTTTTACTGTCCCTTATTTATTGCCTTCAGGAAGCGACAGTTTTCGTCATAGTGTAATTGATATGCTAGGTTATTAGCGCACATTGTGGTCGTCACAGTGGCCTTCGATAGATACTGCCTTGTTTATAAAGCGTGAACCCCGGAAAATGCGAGTTTTGCGTTAGTTTGTATAAAACAGCGATATTTCTGTCTCGTTGCATGGGAACGGGAAGAAAGAGGGATTTGTATAGCACATTAATAAAAAATGCGATTCACTTCACGTCTTGCAACGTGGCAGAATACGCTACGTTTTATACATTACTAACTGTTTAGGTAACTTATGCACTTGCGTTTTCAAACAGCGCAATATAAATTACTAGAAAAGGATTTCAGCTGTCTCACATTGTATGAAAACGTGGACAGTGACTTCATAATATTCTCATTGGAAGATTCAATGGCATATTACATTAAATGCCAACTGCGCCATTTCCTGTGTTGTAACTAAAATACTTAAATTGATGATCTCAATTCAGTAACTGGACACAAGTGTGTAAGTAACCTAATATTTTGTTGAGATTAGGAAGGGCGTTGCAATTTTGTGAGAAAACAGCACAACAGTCCAGTAAGAAACACCCGCTAGCAATTAGATAGTGTTAATTTTAACGTAATTGTAATATAAGGTAAAGAATGGTTCTTGTTTTAGGATTAAGTGAAGAGCAATGATATAAAATAGTTTGTGTAATATTGATAAGAAATGAAATTAAGATGCAAACTATTGGTTGTGATTCTGACACAATTTGTTAAGTTGTTCGTAGATTTGACACAGTATATGTGGAATTAGAGGGTTTTTCGACACTAGCGATTTTACGTTGCTCAAGTTTTAGTTGCTCACTCAAATTGTAGGCATGTACAGCAACTTTCAAACTTCTCGTAGTCTAGTTCGTTTTTACAACGTATTCTTAAATATTTCGAAAGCAACGAAAAGACGTGCGATTTAAAATCGCTAGTCTACGGAAGCACTTACTGACTTCACGATAAGGTCCTTTTCACTTGATTTTTATGTTTTTGGATATTTTTTACTTGTCGTTCTCGTTTGTACATCGCTAACAATAATTGTACAGAGTACTTTTGGACTTAATTTAAGGCAATAAATGTATTTATTTTATAACTCGTGATGTAAGAATTTATTCTTAATTATTATAAAAAAAAAATATATAATATGCTTGTAATACATGTTTTATTTATTATACCTCGCTTACCTAGATGGATTACCCACCACAACGCTTCTAGCGACAGTGATGCCACGTTAATGTTGGATTCCACTTTAGTATCTGCGCCCGAGAGCCAGAATTACCTCATTGATGAATGTCCAAGCGAATACATTCCGAACTACTCTTACAGCTACGACAGCCATGGACCACCATCTGACAATAAATACATAAGCCAAAATTTGTCAAGTTCGCAACAACCCGACAGGGTCGCTGTCTTTTCCCATTGTTCACAGCGTTGAAGCCTAGATCCACCCGGACTTCATACGTAAGCTTGTAAAGGTTTTTCGAAATGTGGTATAAAAGAATGCCAGACACTGCGCAGCGACCAAACGTCATAACTCGGAGTGAATTAGAGCGCCTTCTTGATCTTCTTATTCAGCTTGTAATTGAAGGTAAAACTGACCGTAACTTAGCCCTTATTAACTTAGGCCTTAACTAACCATTTCTCTCCTGCCTCTAGCCGAACGCTTACCAAGCTGGACTGCCACGCAGAGGTCCCCGGCTGGGAGAAATATTTGTATGGCCTACATTTATTTCTCTCGTGAGTTTGGGTGTAATTTGTGGTTGTCTGTGTTCAATGGACCCGTGGCACAGGGTTTCCCTAGTGCGGGGCTATGAGTGTGTGCGTTATTATTATTTGTGTATGTACCTATGTTAAGGTGAATTACTTTTGGCTACGGTTCCCTTAAAATTATGAAAGACGTACAAACCTATCGATTTTGATAATGAACATCGAAAACGTGGTAGGTATATTATTTGTATAATAATACTCTTTCGGTAAACTGCACTGTGCTATAATTTGACTTTCCCGTCCTGTGTACGGAACTCCATCTTAAACGTTTTAATATGTATGGTTCATATTTTTCTCCGAACTGAATATAATCCATGTCATCAATGATAACGAAAATTAGTTTATAGGTCATAAAATGTCTGCCCATGTAACAGCATCTCTCGCAAAGTACCTCGGGTTACAAAAGAAGTTAAGTAATCTTTACAGTACCTTCCATTTTTTAAGACCATGGTAAAACTTTGATATGAGATCCTAACTTTTTCATTAGCGGTTTTCACGTCCTCTTCACGCCTAAATCTCCCGCTATGAAAAAGGCGGAACGGAAGTTATTTATAGTAATTAATTATTTATTTAGTCTGGCAATAATCTTGTCGTTTCCTCAGTCAAGGCGGCGAAAATTTTTAGTAAAAACACGTAAACCAAATGTAGGCAATAAAATCCGAATTCAAATTAACATTTTTAACATAGATAAACTTATTAAAATTATTTAGATTTTTGAAAATGTCCTGTTATTCGAAGTATGGCATCCCTAAAACCGTAGACACCATAACGCTTTTTCGTAAAGTGGTACTAGGAGTACAATATGATTATCAATGTACTCATCAAAAAGTACATCGTATTATATTACGAAAACAGCTAAATATTTTTATAATACACATGCGTTTCCAGAGAAATGACAAAAATATTTAATTCATTAGACACTAATGTTATTCTTCGGGATAAGACAAATAATATACAAAACAAGATATTATTGAGTCTGTGGAAAGTGGAAAATTACTCACTTGGTAATCGAAGTAAAAAAATGTATGAAATTGTCTATGGAAACACAGAACGGAATCTTGTAAAAGATTAGGCCATTTCATAAAACAAATGTATAGTAACTCGCAGAAAATATCTTCGGGACAGTTGTATTTATTTCAGCTTTGCATTTTAACGTAAATTGAATCGTGTGCCGCATCGTAGGCCCATTGGAAAGGATTCATCTTCGACTCCTGCGGAAGGGTTAGCAGTCTCGATTCTGCAATAGAAAAGATTTGCATTGAGAGAAGACGTAAGGTAAACATCGATTTTATATTTTGCCCTAAAATGGAATCAGGTGACGAAATTGAAGTGTAGGACTCATAAGACGTGTGAAGTGATGTGTGGAGTGTTTATAATGTATTTTTAGTGTATCCTTGTACGAAATGAAAGTTTGACTTTTGCCACATATTCTTTTGAATGGCAGGTGACGGACGTACTTCTTGTTACGAGAGTAGGTACTTATTGCTACGTAAACTGTTTCCAAAGTGTGTATTTGGGATATTTGTTCAAATTCGGGGGTTGTTTTGAGGTTGGATTGGTTTCTAGAGGCTAATGGAAGCGATGGTTTTGAAATGTTTTTTCCCTAGTAATATGTCAAATGTGAACTTGTCAAAGCTGTATTGAGTCATTGTGGCGCTCGACAGTCGACTAAAGCCAACTTATTGTCTAGTCCCACTGGCATTGTTTACTTCCATTCACACTGCTTGTTTTTCAATAGGTAGCATATTTTCTCAGTCCATAACATAAATTCTTGCATGCATTATAAGCACCATTGATCAATCATTTGACAAATCAGACAGTGTTTCGAAAATTAGTTTTATAAGTTAATTGTTCTTAGGTGAATCATTCATTGAACAAAGTATTGCAAATGACAAGTATTCTCATAATTCCCCATATGTTTTATTATAGTTGCCAACTGTTTACATATTGTTTTTTCCAATTTGAACTTAAACTTTTTTGTATAAAAATTGGCTTGTAGATGACTGTTGATCAACAATATAATTAAAAGTGATAATATGTTTAAAGATTATTAAACAAAGACTAAAATTAGCTGTAAGTGTTTGTGTAATGTAAATAGTCATTAATTCAGTTCTAAGATCGTCCCCATAAAATACACTTTCACTTTGCAGAATGTAGACTTACAGATGATTGCCCAAGCCAATGCAATACAGTACCTTTACGGTGGTTGAAAATCTAACAAGACCACTAGAACCTGTTACTCGCAAAATGTTACTACCCAATAAACATTAATAACACAAAGGAACTGATAAAAAACAAATTGCAACTAGAGTTTTATCTTTTATTATAGCTAAACTACAGTACATTACATGTCAAACATTCTACACTTATCCATTATGTATTACTCTTTAGCACTATTACCTCATACTAGAAGGTTGAAATTCACCTTTGAGAGAATATTTTCCTGTTCAATTTTCCTTTTTTGCCAAAATTATATCTATAGATAATTGTATGGTAAACAACATACTGAATGTGAAACATACGGTCATTGACATTAAGTTTTATATCTTACATTAAGCAAACATTTAACACACATTTTAAGGCTTATACATTTCAAATTTTATATAAAGATTTTAACTAACAGAATGTAAATTGATTATTCCTTTGAAGTACACAGTTATTGGGCAATTTTATATTTACATTAATATGTTTTGTTCTTCAATGTTACCTAAGAAACTAATTTCATAATTACATAATATAAAATAAAAAAGATGTAAATAAAAATAGATATGGTATAAATCACTCTGGATGCCCATTATGGTAAAATGGCAACTGGAGAAGTCATATAGAGGGTATTATATCAAGAGGGTATTATATCAAGAGGGTATTATATTTAATTTTCAGCTTTTATCGAGTTCTTAGGTTTTCGCGATTGTTACACATAGGAAATGAAACTATTTTTCCGGATTTAAACTGTATAGGCCCGAAACGTTGGTTTGTTTGAAAAAACAAATATACGCGATTTAAATCCGGAAAAATAGTTTCATTTCAGCTTTTAGTCATGTTGCGAAGGATCAGAAGGTCGTCATCAACTCATTTATTTGTCCCACTGCCTGGTATGGGCCCCCGCTCAGGCAATGGTTTCACTTCACATGTTTTCCAAGAGTTGTTAATCTTCTTCAACATGGAGGTTTCATCACAATGTTTTCCTCCACCGAAAAGCTTATTGTAAATTTTAAATTCATTTTTGCACATAAATTCTAATAATTTCAGAGGTGTGAGCCCGGATTAGAACCCACGGCCACTGCTTGAGAGGTGGTAGGTCAAAATCATTATACTACCACGGCATATTTATTGGTAGGTGTGGGGTTATATTATTACCATATTTATCCATATTTTCAGTAGCGTACTGGTAAAGTTATAGGCACATGGGACTTGTCAATTTATGTCTCAGGGTGACGGGCGCAGTGGCTGTTCGTCTCAGATCTTTGCGGTATAAAGAGCTGAGTGGCACTGCAACTGTTATGGACAGGCGTGTAGCTTCATACCGTCACTTCATATTATTAAAAAAAAAACATAAAACCTATTGTAAACTGAGGAGCATTTATAAATAAACTAATTCCTTAATTTTCATTATCTTCATTACATTTGGCACCTTGGTTTTCTGCATTCTTTTAATGGACTTCATGATGCTCAATTCCTATTGAATAAAATGTTATATCTTGCACTAACCAAGATATAACATTTTATTCAATTGCACTAACTTGCACTAACCAAGATATAACATTTTATTCAATTAATAAAGATATAACATTATATTATTATTGTTATATATCCTATGTTCGCTGTATTTTCCTTATTATTGTTTTATAACTACATAAGCCACTTAGTAAAACACTAGGTAGGTTAGGTTTTGTCTTATTTAGTTGTATTTCCATATATACATTGCTTTTCAATTCCTATATTTTTTATACTCTGATTGGAGTTCATCTATGCTGTTTAACTTTATTTATGTTGAGTGTAGAGGGCAGGTTGAAACTTATTTCTTATTACAATTCAAACCAATAGAATTAACTTGGAGACCAGGCACCAAGGAGAACAAGCATTTTTGACAGACAAGAGTTTCTTTACAGTTTGGCATATGGTTTCGTACATGCAGCCTAGTTTGAAGTCTGATGGTCGTATTCCAGAACTCTACTCAATGCTCAAGTCAGGATTGCACTGGAAACACAAGCACTGGAAATACGACCCTAATGGCAGGGACTTGAGTGTGATTTCGAGTGCTTTAAACCATACTCAAATCCTGACTTGAGCATTGAGTAGAGTTCTAGAATAAGACCCTTAGAATTGAATGCAAAATTTATATATAAATTATAATTAAATAAAATATACCAAAATATATACAACTTACTATAGAGCCAGAAAATTGTGACTGTTATGGGTAAAAAGATAGAAATTGTCTAAGAATTTTTTTTTCATAGAGTTTACAAAGTCCATGTGAAAGAAACTGTTTTTAATAATTCATTCATCCTACACAACTTCAACTTATTTCTTCATTACACGAATTCTCTCATAACATATTACAAATTAAACTTATTGACCCTATAGATAAATCTTTATATATTAAAAAAAATGCAATATTAAATGTATAACTTATTATTAAACAACTAATTATAACACCTAATGAGTGAGCATTACTGCGTTTCGGTTTTGAATGATAAGGGTGGTGGTGAAATTACAGGGACATAGGAATTGTCAACTCATGTGTAACAGGCGCAGCGGCAGTGCCCCTCAGATCTTTGCGATTTAATGCTCTGAATGGCACTGCTATGAACAGGCGTGTCGCTTACCACCAAGCGCATGATGTTCTTCCTGTCACTTACATAAAAAAAATTAAATAAAAACTAATTAATTGTACATCCAGCACATATTTAACCTAAAGACAATGTAGATTCTCTTAATAATGTAGACATTTGTAGTGATATTTTGGCAATCACCTCTATTTATCTAAAAGTATTTTCGAGCTATCAGAACAGTGGGTATATAAAGAATCAGACAGTAAATAGCACGTCAAAAACAAGGACACCCAATAACTACGCGCAACCGAAATCGCAGTGAAAACCTAGTCCAATAAAACAACAGTAAAGTATAATAAAATGATAAAAAAACATGATGTAAACAATTAGTTTATTAAATTACAGTTATCGTGTTTGTATAAAACTAGGTTGCCAATATTGAGTGAAAGTGAATAAACTTGTAGGAAAGTTGTTCTATACTGCATTACTTAACTAAGCTATACCATAACTTAAAGTTGTTCTGTGTTCTAATTCAAAATGTATATTTATTACAGTATATAGATAAATTACACCATGCAAATATAAATTAAAAGTAATGAAACATCTAAATCAGCGATTATAATCCGAATAGCAGACACAATAGAAATAAAAAAATCGTCGTAACATAATTTCTGCTTATTTATCTGTTTCCTAATTCCGAACTCTTGTTATTTATCTACTTTATCGTACTTATGTACTCATATCTTGGGAAACTGGTGACGATTTTCGATAACTATGTTGTGCAAACAAGGATATCTTTTAGTGTTTATATTCTTTAATTATCTATTAATTCGTTCTATAAATAAATTGAATTGACCCTCTTTTGTGCATATTATTTGTATACCATTAATGATTTGATGCAGGAAAATGTTCCCGATACGCGAGTTTCAGTGCGTGAAAAATTCCACGCTAAATTCATGTACATACGTTAGAATTTGCTGTGATATTGTTTCGTTTTAATACCAAAATCTTTTACCAGTACATTGTAAATTGTACTTTACCTTCAATCGTTTTGGGTTCAAAAGCACGGCCGAAACGTCTATAACGGTTAGTTCATTCGGGATCTGTGTTGATAAAATGTTAATTGTTGATATAAGTGGTACACGAGTAAAGTAAGACATTTGTAACGAACGACATTTGTGAGGCCCAAACAAAAAAACAATGCTTGTTACCGAAATGGATTTTTCTGTTTTTTTTTTGTATTGTTTCGAAGGTCTGTACTTGGTACAACACTGTTGATCAATTTATTATAAATATAACTTTTTTTATCTCACCAAGTGATAGGACGAACAAGTCGTGCACCTGATAATAAGTGTCACGCCTGTCCATAACGGTTGCAGTCCCACTCATAGCTGTAAACCGCAAAGATCATAAGTTCACAATTTCACCAGCACCCTTAAAACCCGGAACTTACCTGCTTGGCGTCAGAAACAGGTAAGGCGGCAGTACTTCCCAAGACGAACTCTTTCACAAGGAGCTCTACTGCTATTTAAATACTTAACTAATAATATTTTAGTACGCAAGGCGAATGAAACAACATTGGCCGAATAGGCTACAATAGCAGAATAATCAGACAAGTTCTGGGTAAACTAGATCCATCGACCTCGTCTTGAATCAGTCATTTCACTGTGATTAGATAAGGTTAAAGTAACTTTTTTGTGACAAATAATTGTTTAAGTAAATTGCTGCAAAACTTATTACTACTACTAGGGTTCGGATAAATATGCAGTATAAACTACAAAATATGTACATATAATATGAGCAAAAATTTTAAAATGTGGAGATTAAAAAACAACTGTTTTCACATGAACTACGCCTTATTATAAAAAAATCAACAAATTTTATTCCACTTCAATCTAATTTTCGTTACTATTATTGTTACAACACACAATTACATGTGTTTTCAAATTTTCAAAATTAAAATTTTCTCTGGTCGGAACAACGTTTTGTACAGACTGAAATGAGCTTTCGGCGTCACAGGATAAGACTGGAGCAAACTTAAATTTGCACAAACCCGCAAGTCAGTAGGTCATGTCTAGGTTGTCTTCTAATCTTCTGCACAGTACACTGTTCACCTCTTTTTTTGTTTATAAAAACCTGTAGTTTTATCAAACACGCACGCTCTTTTATTTTTTTAAATTAAATAGAGTGTAACGTAATATTGAAAATATGGATTATTGCAAGTTTCGTGTAGAAATGTGGTCTAAACCTGAGAATGTGGAAAAATAAGGAAAATAAAAGTGCCTTTTTTGATTCTAAATATTATTAATGAATTGAAATGAAATGAAATTATTTATTGGTAACAATGTTATCAGTCAGTTATCTATACCATTCAACATCTTTAATATTACATTTCAAGTCAGTGTTTATGTCACTCACGATTAATTATAGAATAAACAGTACGTAAAAGCATTTCATTTACAATACATTATAAGTCACATTTACATTATATTACATATCATAAAAAAATGAATACAATAACAAATAATCAAAGATAAATCATTATACGATGGAAATTACATTGTAACATTTGGTTCTAAGAAATAAGGAATTCTTTAAGGTCATAGAATTGTTTTTGCCACTTCTGTTCTTCACTTAATCTAAATAAAACTACATTATTATATAGAAAACAAAATCAAATGTATTGCAATAAAAAATATGTAATTACATATTAATCCGGGCCCTACCTTTGACTACTCTCTATTTCTCTTAACTTTACTCTACTGACGGTTTTTTACAAATTAAAAAAAACACTTCTGCACACAATTATAATAAATATTGACTACAAAACAAGTGTTAGGTTAAAACAGCAAACAAAGCTAAAGTAAATGCCAAGGAACTCAGCTTACACCGAATTCATACTGTTTTTATTTTTAATACAGATTAGTGTTAATGATGTAAGAACAATTCTTTTCAGTTCTTGTTGTTGTCTATTTAAAAAATGCCGTTTCAATGGCGTTCTTTCCAGGGTTTTCCGTCGCGCTGCATTTCAGCTCCTGGGAAAAATAAGTATAAACTCGGTGCAGTCTGGAAAATCCCGAAAAAAAAATTGAAACTCGGTGCAGTCTCTAAAATCCAGGAAAAACCGAAACTTTCGAAACTGCTTCAGAAGTAGGTTTCTATATTATTTTGCTAGGAATTCAGGCAGTCAAAACATTATATTTTAATTAAGTTTTTTAATAATTCAAACTATATAATAAAATAAAAATATATGGAAGATTTTCCGGTTAGTCCCGCTATGGTATGGTCCCGGTATGGCACCCTCTTAAAATACCTATCAAAAAGTCCCACTATGGTACCCATCTTTTAGATCTACGTTAGACAATAGAAGGTACAACTGAAAAGAAAAGTGTATCTATAAATAAATACTTTTAGGAGTGTATCAATAAAACGTCTGTTTGCGATATTAAATCAGTCTTTTATTAATTCAAAATATTTATAAAAAAATATCAAACAGTAAAACGAAATATTAATTGCAATGTAATTTTTAAAATAATCAACAATATTAATTACCAATAATCAACAATAAAAAAAATATAAAAAATCCACATCTCAGAAAAGTATTACTGTAAATATTATAAACTACAAATAAAAACAACATCCAGACATAAATATTAGTTACAAATAATCAACATTGAGAAAAGGCAGTAATTGTAAATTTATATAAACTACAAAAATAATCAACAACCAACTAGACAAATATATTAATTACAAATAATCAACATGGAGAAAAAGGCGCAAATTGTAAACATAAACTACAAAAAATAATCAACATCGAGAAAAAGTATTAAACATTTTAATAGGCTAAAAACAAAATTAAAATAAACTATTTTTTTAAATGTTCTGATCGAAATGTTGACTTTGATATGTTAATCAGAAAATCACCAATGGAGATAGCTTTATTTTCGTAACTTTTTGTTAGCTTTTGAATCTGGCGGTCGATTTCTATACTTGTTCTTTTTCTTGAATTTATAGGTGATCTTTTTAGTCGAAAGCTATAACAAAAATCATCAGTTATTTAAGTTAAGCTATATTTTTTTCAGTAACCGTCTGTAATAGAAGGCGACAACCAATAATATCTACCAAAATAAATAAAATCAAATCCATTTTCAAATTCTTCTATGTACTCGTATTATGTAAAAAAATATATATATCTGCTTTTAAAAATATTATATCTGCTTAAAAATATTGTCTAAAAAATACAACTTACTTGGCTTGTTTTATATCAAAGTGACATGTGTCGTTGCCAATTGTTTGCAGAAACAATAATAAACTGGGATTTTTTCCAATAACTTTGTTGAATCTGCCATTCTATGATTCCGCCAAGTTAGTTGTTCTATGGCGTTCATTATGGCAACACCAAATGAGGTCTGGATATTCAAGCCACTGAGTGACAAAATAGTCATTGAATTTGGTCATAGCTTCATCGTCGAAACTGAAAAAAATACTTATTAAACGTTCGTACTTGTAAAGCAATGAAATTAACAGGTCCTTACTGATATTGTTGTTCTTTACTTTTTTGCCATATAATTAGAGTTAAGTACTCAAACATCATTTTGGAAAGTAACCAAGATATTATACCTATTTTCCATTATATGCAGCCAGCCGTCTTCAATATCTTGTTTTGGCAAAAACGCCAAGCCTATGCATTGCTTAACATGGTTCGAGGACTCTTCGTGTTTCATGAGATTTAAAGATTTCGCTTTTTTGATAACGTTCTTTTGAAAATGTACGTTACATCCATTTATTTTGATATCAGGAAAAATCTTCGCTGCTGCATTTATTACTCCTATTTCATAATCGAAGGTAAATTTCGATGGACGCCATTCAGGCAAAGTTTGTTTAATCAATTCGAAAACTTTTTCATAAGTTTTCCCTTCTTTGTTTTTTAACAGAATATAAAATAATGGTGCTACATTCGTGGATAACTCAGTGCTTCCCATGTCTCCATGAATGACATAAACTTGTTCGAATGGGTTTGGGCAGCCGTCGAAAGTGCCATCACCAAAGTAATGCGTTACACATTTTATATATTCCTTTACTTCTGTCGAGGAAAATATAATTATTCGATTACAGTCTTCATTACAATAATCAGCCAATACATACTTATTAAATTCTTCTGGTATTATAATTTCTTCCACATTCTTAAATTGTGTTTTTGGTACGTTCAACGACTTATTTCGGTGTCTGTATAATACTGTTTTTAATTTTTTATAGTCAGGAACATTTCCTGTAAGGTGTAACCCTTTGTCTTTTAAGTTACCCATGTGTTTTTCGAAAATTTTCTGTACTGATCCGTAATTTGAATTTACTTCTTTTTTGCACTCACTTATAGCCATTTGAACTTCATTGTCTTCAAAATGTGGCACGCACTGATCACTGTGTTTATAATCTTTAATTATTGTATTATTGGTATTCTCAATAGTTATATATCCACTACATTTAATACTATTTCTCCTATTTACACAATGCCAAGTACTTGAATTTTTATTTTCTCTGCGTTTAATATATTTATGTCCGGCACGTAATAAAGTTTTTCCACCGCGTCGACTGTCAATAATTATTAAATTTACACCACGTGAACTACTTGACCCAGACATTGCAATAGATAAACTAACAAGCTATCCTAATTACTCATATCGCAAAAGTACAGCTGCAAATAGCAAACTAAACCCGGAATAATACTGTCTCTCTCTATTTTCATAAAAACAATACGAATTCGAAGAAGGGCTCGTCTCTATTGTTTTACGAAAAAACCGGTTGGTCAGGTAACTACCTGAAGTGAAACGACAATTACCGAGCGTGATTTGTTTAAAAAATAGTATTAATAAATATTATCTTGCTTAACTATAATAGTTAAGAAAAGATATTTTTTATTAATACTATTTTTTTCTTAACGCATTGTATAACTTTTCTTTACAACAGTACCAAAAACTGAAGGGTACCATAGCGGGACTTTTTGATAGGTATTTTAAGAGGGTGCCATACCGGGACCATACCATAGCGGGACTAACCGAGATTTTCTTTCAATTTTTATTGTGGACACAAACAAAGGGCGTTAAGTATAGTTTCAAATAGAGAGGATCTGATTTTATTGCTGTCGATCATGAATATCCACATAAGCTCCACTCTACAGTGTCGCCATGTCCATGTAAACAGAATAATAAAAAAAATCCTGTTTTAAATTCACTAGATTGAAACCAAAATTGAATTTAAAACAGGACGTATATATTCAACCACTTTTATGTTGACCTTCGCGATGTTGGAGAGTTTAAAATACCAATACCGACAACATGAACATTGATTTCAAAATGCAACAATCGCACACATTTCAGGGTGCAGAAGCAATTCATTGACCGTTATACAATTAAAAACCGTCAGCATTGTTTGCCCTTTCCATTAATTTATTGTTTCTATCAAAGTTAAGGATATGTTCAAAACGAATCTAAATTTAGTTTTTCAATATTTCAACTGACAATCAGAGTTTAAGTCAGTGGCGAGGGATGCTCCGTCCTCTTTTAGCAAAACTTAGTACATATAAAGTACATATATTATGTCGCCTGTGTGACGCCATTGAAGTTGTGTCGTCATTAATAAAATATTCTAAGTTCTGATTTTTAATTACCTGTAATAATTTATTTTTCAATGAATTTTAATTCGGATTTCGTTGCTACACATCGGAATTTAATTTTTTTTTTCCCGGATCTATTTATAGTGACAGCAAAACCCCCTGAGAAAGAGTTTGTCGAAGGAAGTATTGCCACCTTACCTATTTCTGCCGCCAATCATTAATATGAGCATTATTGCGTTCCGGTTTTGAAGGGTAAGGGTGCTGGTGAAATTAAAGGCACGTGGGACTTGTCAACTCATGTCTCAGGGTGATAGGCGCAGTGGCACTGTCCCTCAGATCTTAGCGATTTAAGGTGACACTAGAAAAATCTAAGTCCCGTATATTTCTTTAAAAAAAAAAACACCTACATTTCGGGCTCTTTATTCTGAAGTATTATTATAACATTTAAATAAATTCACGTAAATACGTGACTCATTTTTAACTGGGATAATGTTATTTGATCCGCAAAGATATAATTGATCTATTGTAAATGTGCACTTTTTAAATTAACGGTATTTTTTTATGTTTGATGTATATATTAATAGTACCATCTATATTAGTTGATCTACGGAAAATTATAAATGAACGGCACTATCATTATGTTTCAGCATACTAAATGAATATTTGGTATTTAAAAAATAGTACATAGTACTGAAAAAACCGACCTCAAAAGTCATTCATCCCCTAGTTTGCCACCCTTAGAGGTGGAATATTTTCTTCAAATTTAAATGGGACCATATCTAAGGTACCCTCTTTCCAATAAAAAAATAATCATCAAAATCGGTTCACAAATATCGTGTGTGTATGTATATATGTATATATATAGAGTTATCGCGTAAAAAATGTTGTATGTAAACAATAAAACATACAGTCGAATTGAGAACCTCCTCCTTTTTTTTTAAGTCGGTTAAAAATAATATTTGTACCTCTTTTTTATATTAGTCTTTTCTTTTAACGATTCATTATATTTATAACAAATATATCTTTTGATATTGATCTCTTAATCTTGGTTGGATCTTGGTGGCACCCTCCACTCAGTAGGTTAGGTTAGTAAAAAGCTAAAGGCAATTTGCTTGCGATTTTCCGAACATGGTTCCAATCATACATACAAATCAAATTATATTGTTATTAATATACTTAATATCGAGTTCTTAGGTTTTCGCGATTGTTACACATAGGAAATGAAACTATTTCTCCAGATTCAAATCGCGTATATTTGTTTTTTCAAACAAACCGACGTTTCGGGCCCTTTACAGGTCCCATGGTCACGGTTGACTGAGGTTGACAGTCTTCAACCAGTTATGTCTAATATTGATGCAATCCACCCTATTTTTTCACTATAGTTACAATAGTTATTAATTAAATACCTTATTTTTAATTTTACAAAGAAAACATTCCAATTTGCGCTACATTAAGTTTTACAAATTATTTTATTGAATGAATTTTTATTAAGTTTAATTTTTAATTTTAATTATTAATAGAAATTAGAATAAACTAAAACATATTAATTAGTACTGCAGTCTTATGTCTGTTTGGGATTTTTCATTAGAGGAAATACTGGATCCCAAACTGGTGGTACGGAGAAACCATCTTCCCCGTTGAAATTAGGTTGTTTTTTAATTTCAATGGTCTCTCGTAGCATCCTGGGTAGATAACGGACTTCTTTTGCAAGGACCTGGGGTTTGTCAAACTTCATTGAATGTGTAGGTGTATTCGTGACATGCTCGCAGACTGCAGACTTGTTTACGCGTCGGTTTTTGACATCAGCTATATGTTCTTTGACGCAGGTACAAATACTTCGGTTTGGGACCTGTAAAGGGCCCGAAACGTCGGTTTGTTTGAAAAAACAAATATACGCGATTTAAATCGGGAAAAATAGTTTCATTTCCTAATATACTTAATATTAGTAATAAATCAATATCCAATTTTTATTTTTTATGCTCATTTGTCTTAGTTTTGAGGCCCAACATAAAACTATTAAAGTTAATTTTTACAAATGAAACGTTTTTTGCGTAGCTTAGAACAGATTAAAATACCTATCGATTTAATTTATTTTGTATCCCAGAGAAAGAGGATCATTAAAAAAAATGATCGTTTAGATTTTTTGCCTGCTGCTTTTGCAAATTTAAAATGATCATTTATATACATGCCTTTTTAATTTACCATAGAACATAATTCGTTGGTGTTTTGTAGAAAGCGACATTTCGGAAAATCTTTCAGGGGAGCTTGTTTTAGGTTTCCACGACTCTTGAAATATTTACGTCCTGTTTTAAATTCAATTTTATAACTTATACTTAATTAAAACCAAAATTGAATTTTAAAACTGGACGTATATATTTAAACAGTCGTTAAAATGTAAAACATACTGCTTTGAAAAATTTTATAAATATATAATAATATCACTTTCTACAGAACACTATCGATTCTAATTTACGGTTTAAATCTGTTTAATTTCCAATTTGACCATCAATTTGTATCCACTTTGTAATGCAAATGAGAAACACTTATTTTTCGATAATTGCCTTATACGTCGTCCTTCTAGGATACATGCCTATATTGTTTAGCAATTTTCAAACTCCTTGATGAATATAATAAAATCGGATCAATAACGTAACTTAGTTTCGTCCTTGTTAGCAAGTTGTTGATAATTAAAGTTTCTGCAATATCAAATGTAAATGGGAATGTATACTCTCACTTATGTGAAGAGATTCGACCTTTGTAACTGCTGCCTTTCGCTTTACGCAATGCTCATCACTTTTGCAGTTACGCTCTACGGATGATTGCTCTAATAAGCACAAAATACTCATTATGTGTACTATTTTTTGTAATAATTTGATAGTACATATGTATTAATTAGTGGAGTAAACATAAAATGTGTCTAGTGTACATACTACAGTAAAGAAGACTTCTTACTAAAGATCTGTGACTTCACTAGCTGCCGTGTATAATATTTGCCAATATTGTATGGCTAATTGTACAGCGCCCCCCATTGGTCTCAAGGAGAAGTAACATTTTGCATTCCAATATTTTACACAATCGCTAGTGACAAATTAGATTTTGGTTATACAGCGTTATTTTTAAAATTCTTACAACTTCCCAGGACTGTATTACTAATATCCTAAACGACAACTTTGGTCCCATCACGTCCATTCCGTTCCGCGACAGTGTAAATTGAACCTAAAGGTCAGAGAATTTTATTTTAGTCGACAGCGTGTGGCATGCAATTCTTAGAGCATACTTACCATCCACATAATAGTACTGTACTTATTGTAAAGCTTTTTCTAACAATAAATTATATTATTTTTAAAGTCGTAGTAGGTACAGTTGAAGCCCTTCGATACCTGACCACCCTAGCCGACCTTTTGGTTCTAAGAGCCTTCTTACGGATTCAACAGACAAGTGTATAAGAATTCCAGCTCTTTGGTTAAAATTTATGTTTATGTAAAGGACTAATTGGCTTGAAAAGTTGCCTTAAACATCATTCTTCATCATTTTAGTGACAGTAGAACTCCTTGTGAAAGAGTTCATCCAGGGAAGTACTGCCACTTTACCTATTTCTGCCGCCAAGCAGTAATGTCAGCATTACTGTGTTGGAGGGCAAGGGTGCTGCTGAAATTACTGGCATATGGGACTTGTCAACTTATGTCTCAGGGTGACGGGCGCAGTGGCAGTGCCCCTCAGATATTTGCGATTTAAAGAGCTTTGCGCAGTCGAGCGTCTGCCCAAGCATGGAACGCGGAAATTTTTTGTGCTTCAGCACAACTACACTACAACATCAGCATGCCTCGAAGAGTCTCCTGATGTAGTAGTAGGGTTATGACGCAAAGAAATGGCGCATTTCATCTCAATCTCCTAATCTGTATCGCCACACCCGTCTCATACTATTAGGGCCGTGTTCGGGTGGGGAGTATACGGATACAGTTTTCACAGAATTATTACAGTATTTTTTAATAAATTTCTAACATTTCCTGGATACTACTTGGAGATAGTCACCGCTTGAAGATGAACGAAATTCTGCAGCTTGCTTTCGGACGGTAATAGACTCAAGCCGTATTGACTATAGCTTACATATAGGAAATGAGAGTATGTTTTCGGATCTAAATCGTGTATATTTGTTTTTTCAAACAAACCAACGCCTTATTTCGGGCCCCTTAGGTTCAATTTATATTGCGGCGGAACGGAATGGAAGCGAATTTTTGTAACGATATTGTACATAGCGTGATGAATTTTATATTCAATTGTGTAACGTACAAACTAGATACGAGCCAAAATCTCCCGTGGAATTCTCGCGCATGCTCGAAAATGCTCGCGCATTCCGCGGAAGATTTTGGCTCGTATCATAAAGCATAAAGTTCATTCGCTTCCATTCCGTACCGCCGCATTATAAATTGAGCCTAACAGGTTAGACCTGTTAAGTAAGATCGGAAAAAATTGTCTGATTTCCTGTGTGTAACAATCTCGGAAACATAAGAACTCTATATATAGCTTACATGTTTAGTTATTGATATTTTTAGTGTAAGTTAAAAAATGAATAAATAAAATAAATAATTGTTATTGTTGTCAGGTCACAGTGGAGGTTTAGAGTAAGCTGAGCTTGGTGTAACTGAGGGAGGAGCAAAGACATACGCTCGTCGAATTAACATGTCAGTGCTGAATCAGAGTGGAGAGGAGCAGGTAATTGCTCTTATGAAACACAGGTTCCTTTGTACCTGAAGACATGTTTATAACCAACAACATTATACGTCCCATTGCTGGGTTCAACTTTGCGGGTTGGGTCACACGTTTTCAGGTTTTCAGGGGATGTGAATGCATGCAGGTTTCATCAGGATCTTTTCCTTTGCCATTAGCGAGGTACAGGGTCAAGAGCACGCTAAGATTGACACTTGAGACTTAAATCCAGCTCTATGCCGCTTACGATAAGAACGGTCCAAAGTACAAAGAGTCAAACTTGATGTGCTCTTGACTGTACCTCCAATGGCTTTGGTTGATTCCGCGTAACGCTGAAAGTGTTTAATCAATCATTTTGGGAAAAATATATAGTATAACGGTTCCTAAAAATTTCCACGATAGAAAAAAAAACAGCTGTATTCAATTGGTACTTTACATATGGCAATGATGTTTTTTTATTAACTGAACTAAATAAAATACGTATACTATACGATATACACTTTTCAAATGGCTTTAATTTGGTTTGTAAAAAAAATAATTCTGAAATAAAGAAAGTTGTTTCTGCCACTCGACCTAAGCAAAATGAACGGTATTAGTACGGGAAAAATTTGAATTCTAGCTGAGGTAGAATCAACTCTTAAACGTACGCATCTTAAGAGTCTAAAATTAAGAAGCATTCGTTATCTCATTGGGCTACAACTTCTCTTTACTAATAATAATGGGGATATTCTAATACAGCCCTTGTTGAATGTTTATATAGCCATGTTACAGAATATTATGACAGGCTATTACACCGATTACCGATTGTGAAATAATGTTGTGCAACTCTAAACCGAACCCCGACTAACCTTTGATATGAGTTGTGGTGTCCCTAGAAACTGAAATTTAGTTCGACTAATTTCAAAATCCGAGCGTTAGTTCATAATAATAATCGCACTCCACGTGGAAGAATAGCATAAGTGGAGTTACGTGAAAAACGTTTATTGCTCCATTAGGTATAGAAAAATATTACCCACGTCCTCTCCAATTATTGTAACTTTATCGACTAATAATAGATATAGTTACAAAATAAATATAAAATAATATAATATAAAGATAAATATGATATATTATTAGTACCATCGACTCGCCATTGAAGACACGCACACACTCAACATAGCCCCGCACTAGGGAAACTCTATGTCGCGGGTGCCATGGACACACACATAGACAACCACAAATTACGCCCAAACTCATGATAAATGTAGGCCATACAAATAATTCTCCCGGCTCGGGAATCGAACCCGACACCTCTTGCGTGACATTCTAGCATGATAACCGTTCGGCCACCGAGGCAGTTAAAATGGCGGGACTTGACACTTATTTATTTACAATTCAGATAATAGGTCCACCAACCAACTCTTAGCCTATGTTAGTACTTAATGATTAACAATGATTTCGTCGTTTAAGTGAGTTTTCACATCAATGGACAATCAAATTTCTCTGATATCATCTTCAAGATGACACGTTGTTGTAGAAAATGAAATTGTTGAATATTGAAGTGAGCAAGGTTTACAGCTTAAAATTAAAAGCGTGCTTCTGTGCTTACATTGAAAAGCAAAAACTCACAAGCTCATTAGGTATGATTTCTGTTTTCTATAGAAAACAGATTGTTGAAAGGAATACGGGCCGGAATAACATATTATCAACTAATTATACGTTCTCTGAAAATGAAAAACATAATAAACCTGGGAAGACTGACAAGTGTCAATCCAAATTAATTTCAACTAAATTACGCTTTAACGAGGGCACAACGGTTGACACGGTGGACTCTAGATTAGGAGGTACCTACCGAGTTCGATTCCCGGTACGAACAATTTGGGAAACATACTTTTCTAAATTGGTCCTGGGTGTTCTGGGTAGTGCCCCGTAGTGAATTCCGTTACTGTGGTACTCATAGTTAAATTAAATTAAATTAATCATTAATTAATTAAATTAATTTACCGTACAGTTATTTGTTACTAATATAGTATAAGGTTGCTTACTAACAAACTATGGACCTATGGTGTCTGAAAATAAAAGATTTTTATTTTACTTTTTTTATTGAAATATTAGACAAAATCACAACGTTGGTTTGATCTCATGTAACTAAAGCACTTGTGTTATGGAAATCGGAAACAACGACGGTACCACAAACACCCAGACCCGAGACAATATAGAAAACTTAGTTTTCTACATTGAAAAAAAGAACTGGCGGTCGTTGGGCCAGAAAGTTTCGAATGGAGACCACGAACCGCAAGGCGTTCAGTGGGACGGCCCCCTACTAGATAGACGGATGATATAGTAAGAGCGGCGGGTAACCGATGTATGCACGCCGCGTCCAATCGACTAGTCTGGAAATCTTTGGGGGAGGCCTATGTTCAACAGTAGACGTCTTCCATCTAATATGATGATGATGAGTTTCTACATTTACTCGGCCAGGGATCGAACCCGGGACCTCAGAAATGGCGACACAATGAAAACCGGTGCGCAAGTCACTCGACCACAGAGGTCATATTGGGAATTTTCCAGTTTGAGACTCGGTAATTAGTATGGTTATCGGGCACTATTATTATTATTATTGTTAAATACAAATATTACATTAACATTAATCTTCTAATTCTTTAATATCAAGTGTTCTTATAATTCACCTGTGCAATCATAACGTTTTGATATTGTTATTTAAACTGTGGTGTAATTAATGCGATGACGTAACGTTAAAGTAAAGAAAATAAGTATACGTGTAGAAGTTGTGCTGCTCTAATCTCTTTCCAAATAATGTGATTGGGATGAACATTACATTACATTAAAATTATTCTAGCTTTAGAAAATTTATTTGTTTATGCGTAATTTAATGTAATGAGTCATATTTCACCGTAAATGGTAAGTCATTTGATATTGTATTTTAGTCCGCATTGTTGCAGGTGGAATGTCCCCTGTGTATGGAACCCCTGGAGGTGGACGATCTCCACTTCTACCCGTGCACATGTGGATACCAAGTGAGTTTTCGATATACTTGTTTCACTAAAAATCGTTACAGAAAGGAAAGATGGCGTACGGTAAACTCTAAAAATAGATTCATTGAACATTTTGGTAGAATGGGATAGTTACTACATTGGTGGTATAGGGTACTGTGTAAACTGTACTGTTTAAAGGTACAGTATTGGTTACAATTAAATTTTGTGTGTGTTATTAAAAGTTGGCATGTTTGAAATGTCGTTTGAATCCGAACCTATTTGCGCAAAAAGTTGCTGATATCAAGTGACGGGACGAATAAGCGTGGTAAACGACACGACACGCCTGTCCATAGTAGCTGTAGTCCCACTCAGAGCTTTAAATCGCAAAGATCTGAGGGGCACTGCCACTACTACCGTCACCCTGAGACGTAAGTTAACAAGTCCCATATACACATACACATATACTTTCCTGGATGAACTCTTTCACAAGGAGCTTTACTGTTACTAATAATACTTCAATGGGGAGACGTATTATATATATTTTTACATTTTCAGATATGCCGATTTTGCTGGAACCGCATCCGGGAGGGCGAGAACGGGCTGTGTCCCGCCTGTCGGAAAGCATACCCGGAAAACCCGGCAGACTTCACTCCGCTCAGTCAAGAGCAGGTATGTAAATGTGCTTCCTAAATTTATTACAGAACAAATCCGTTAATTCACACTTTGATCGAAGTATAAATTGTAAAAATATTAATATGAAATTATAATTCCTATTTGCCTACCTAAGATACCATGTTCTAAAGTGTAACTGATTCTCAAACACGTCGATGTGAGAAATTATATTAACGTATAATTTTAGTTTGTTGAAAACTCATTATCGATGAAATCAGGTATGTAAAGGTGCTTCCTAAATTTATTGCAGAACAAATCCGTTAATTCACACTTTGACCGAAGAATAAATTATAAAAATATTGATATGAAATTGTAATTCCTATTTGCCTATCCAAGATCTCGTCGATGTGAGAAATTATACTAACGTATAATTTTAGTAATTTGTTGAAAACTCATTATCCATGAAATATTTTCCCATCTTTCTCTACTGGTATTGTTAGAAGAAACTATGTTATTCTGTAAAGTCTATTGTTTACTACGTTTTCGCTTTCATTTACTGTATGGGCTGTTTGCACAGTGCAAACACAATGCGCGTAAATCTCATAACAAGTGTACATTCGAACATTTGACAACGACAGATCTGGAAAAGGATACAGCATGTGAGCTTTGTCACTAAAGCTTACAAATAGGTTTTTTTTTTATAATACCAAGTTACAGGACGAACAAGACGTGCGCCTGGTTTTAAGCGACACACCTGTCCATAGTAGTTGCGGTGCCACTCACAACTTTGAATCGTAAAGATCTGAGAGGTACTGCCGCTGCGCCTATCACGCTGTAACATAAGTTGACAAGTCTCATGTGCCTGTAATTTCACCAGCACCCTTACCCTTCAAAACCGTAATGGTCACATTACTGCTTGGCGGCAGAAATAGGTAAGGTGGCAGTAGTTCCCTGGACGAACTCTTTCACAAGGACCTCTACTGCTACTAAAGAAGAATATTATATTAATATATGGTCACTAAAGTGAGAGTACAGCATGTATAAAATAACCAATAATTATTTTTTTATTTGCAAGAAATAATTTTCTTTGTTTTTTTACTGTTATTTTTCAATGACATTTTATAGAATTAGCGTTTTCCACATACCGTGTATATTTACAAATAACATACATATATATACATACATATACATATATACAAAGTACGAAGTATATATTAATATGAAGCCACTAAAATACGAGAAAGAAACTAGTGACTTTGGGCATTTTAACAAGGTTGACCATTTATCGGAATTAAGCGGTATAGTCCGGTTACCCACGCACCTTTAGCTACCTCAGATCGTATGACATTTCATTTCTCACTTTGAATAATTGACGTAAATGATATATAGATACGGTATGGTCCAAGAATAGTTTCTATTTTTTTAGGTAGGATAAAATTGTGATTTTATGGTCACTTTTATTTAATACAAACTGTTACTATTGTCCATTTCTCATCTGAAGAGGACTGATTCTGAGCTAATGTGTTCTAAAAGCAAAGGGAACATATTGCACAATATTTGTACGTTAATGTTGTCGCAACAAGGCATACAATTCTGTTGTTAACTTTCATTATGCACTTTCGCCCAACTTATAGTTACTTAGTAATTAAGAGGTTTAGGATAAATCTCCATTCGTAATCGTAATCTCAAAAAAAGTAACGTTCCGTATATTGAAAATTACCTGAAAATGAAAATTAATTAATTTACTATTCGTTTATTTATTTGTTATCGAAGCATATTATTATGTATTTAAGTATTCTATATAAGAGCACGTACCACAAGAGCACAACGTACTGCATTACATAAATAAATATTTACGTAATTTATGCTAGTTTATATGCGATACACGTCCGGTATTCACTCGATTTTAGGGTCCACTGAAAACCAGCTTCGCAGCTTAATTTCGGTAGTGGCATTGGTTGCATGGATCCTTTTGCATACTTCACAGTATACTAGTTATAACCTTAGTACAGAGTACTAAAAAAAACCGTCCTCAAAAGTCATTCATCCCCTAGTTTGCCACACTTACAGGTAAAATATTTTCTTCAAATTTAAATAGGATTACTACCGAGGTACCCGCTTTCCAACGAAAAAAAATCATCAAAATCGGTTAACAAATTATACAATTTATTGCGTAACATACATACAAAAGGAAACAGTCGAATTTAGAACTTCCTCCTTTTTTGAAGTCGGTTAAAAATGGAATATGTTTGCTTTTTTTTCTTGTGTTCTTTGGCTGTTTTATGTTCTCTGTTGTTACTAATCCATTTTGTTTCTCCAGGTGGCAGCAATAAAGACGGAGAAGAAGGCGCGAGAGCAGAAGCGACGGAACAAGACGCTGGAGTCACGGCGCGCGCTTGCCAACGTGCGTGTCGTGCAGAACAACCTCGTGTTCGTCGTAGGCCTGCCCGTGCGCCTTGCCGACCCCGAGGTAACATTTGCTAAAGTTCGCCAAAGTTATTATTCAGAATTGACTAAAGCAATAAAGCAAGTATTTAATGTACTAGATATATAGCACATTTTGTATTTATCCAACTTTTTATCTGGATCAGAAGATCCCAAATCTTTTGTCTTGTAGGACCCCTGCCTTTCTAATATAGAATTTACAAATTATTCTTATTATTATTTATAGTAAGAAAGTATTATGTGAGTATATAAGTATTAACCGTGTAATGTGGATTATTCCGTTCATAGAAAGTTAAAAAATTGGACACGGCCTATTTATTTTTTCGCTGACATGGACCCCTTGTTGATTGAAGTGGATCCCAGGGTGGCGATACAGACCACTTTGGGAATCATCGATCTAGAAGAAGATGCGAAGCAACTATTCGCTGACAATATTATTGAGTAAATGTGTTGCAAAATATTTATTTCCTTTTCAGATCCTCAAACGGCAGGAGTACTTTGGCAAATATGGCAAAATTCACAAAGTAGTTATAAACCAAAGTACCACGTACGCGGGGTCACAGGTGAGTCGAAACTCGTTTAGATAAGTAAGATTAATAAAATGTAGTTATTTATAGTATAATACTTGAAATTCAAAGGTCACAATCAATACAATCGTTTCTCTAAAGCCTACGTGTAAAATAAAGTTCTCTTAATCACCACTATATTGTTTTCTAACCCAGTTTTCGCATAGTGAGTCTAGCTCATAGTTTCCCATAGTGGTGCCTATCGCATATATATATTGAGAACCTATGAAAAAAAAATATTCTTATTTTGAATTATGTAATTATTTATATATAATATTTAGTTTTCCATTTATAAACGAGAATATAAAATTGGTTTCGTTCGGTTATTTTTTTGAACATTTTAATCGTGTTTTCATATTTCCACAATTTAGAGTTACGACATTATTTGGTTTTAAGTGCGATTTGAATAGGCTGCTGTATGTTCGTATTTAAAAAAACAGAAAATGATTTCTTTTTATTATAAACGAGCAAATCGGTTGTTTATTTAAAACAATATGTTCCGCTCTATGCAGCATAATAGCACCTTATCTAGTGAAGTGTGACGAGTGACGTCAAGTCGGTATTATAGTAAATTAATGTTTTGTAGGTACATATTGGATGTGACTTGATGAATAAATTCATCACAAATTATAGATTTTTTCTTTCGAATGTTTTTTTAGTCATAGATCATCGCCTTGTTGTAGAATATTAAAAAAACATATTTATTCTGCTTATAGTTCTATTAGCGAGGGGTCGGATTTGCATAATTAGTGGTATCTGTGTGTGTTTAGAAATTCTAAATATGAATTTTCATTTTCCTTGTACTATTAGCAAAAATGAAGTTTGTCATGTTTTGTTAAGACAAACAACGGCCAGTGTCAATTGAAAATTACTTTATTGACGTTGTTTATATTTTTGATCTGAGTTTTCAGATTTTGGATCTAATCAACGAACATTAAGTTACCAACACTTATGACACGTCAAAAGAAGAAGACTTATATGATAAAGATTAGAAACATACGGAAAATAGTCAGTCTTTAATTGTTTAGGAACTGCTCATTAACCGATTTAAAAAAAAGGAGGTTCTCAATTCGTCTATATGTTTTTTTTTATGTAAGCTACACGATAACTCCGCCATTTGTGAACCAATTTTGATTTTTCTTTTTTTTTTGTTGGAAAGAAGGTACCTCAGATGTAGTCCCATTTAAATTTCAAAATATTCCACCTCTATGGGTGGCAAACTAGGGGATGAATGAAATTTGAGGTCGGTTTTGTTACCGGATGGTTAGTTTATTTATTTACTTGTTTGGTTTTGCGAACGGTAGTGTAGCTATATATGCAATTCCGAGCTCTCGTTAATATATTTATGCAAGACGAACTTTGACTTTGAAAATAAACTTACGTCACTATATCAGTATCACCTTGTAAAAACATCTTTTACGATTTCCCCTTATTACAATGTAATATACTTTGTTTTTAATAGTATTTGACGGTCTCGGTGGCTCAACGGTTTGAACTGTGGGCACTGGCTGAGGAGGTTCCGGGAGGACCAATTTGGGAAATAAACTTTTCTAAATTGATTCTGCGTTGTTGCGGATAGTGCCCCGGAATGAATTCCGTTGTTCTGGTACTCGTAGTACAGGGAATTTCCTAGTTTGAGACCAGTAAAGTGATTGTCTAGCATAATAATAATAACGCACACACTCAACATAGCCCCGCACTAGGGAAACCCTGTGTTGCGGGTGCCAAGGACACACGTAAACAACCACAAATTACATCCAAACTCACGAGAGAAATGTAGGACATACAAATATTTTTCTCGGCCCGGGAATCGAACCTGGGACCTCTGCATGGCAATCCAGCATGGCAACCGTTTGGCCACGGAGGCAGTTATTATACACTCCCGGACACATAATTCGAGCCACCTTGCATTTTTATCCTTAAAGGGCTAGAATATAAAAATATAGTTATAAGAAAAAGTTTTCTCCAGTTTTTTAATTAAAATTTTCAACAAAGACTTAGGGAATGACGTTTAGTATACCAGTTTGAAAGTAGCGTAATAGTTTTAAATCAATCGAGCATTATTTAAGCTAAGCATTTAATATTGAAAATGCAAGGTGGCTCGAATTATGTGTCCGGGAGTATATATGCATAGTGTGCTAAGTTATACATGATCTTAAAATGCTACGTGTTAATCGAAAGTTTTTTTAAAGGTCAAAGTCTAAAACTACCAGGGCGCCAAGTTTGTGAATTTTAAACCATTTCAGTTGAGTGTCAATGGCAGGATTTTGAACGTTTGGTATTCTGCAAAAAATTAAGACCAGTGGCTTGTTAGTGGCTATAGCCATCGAGCTACTATTCAAGTGCCATTGAAATTTTTTGGTATTCCGCTCTTCAATGGCGAGTCTGTAGTCTACTAATATTATATTTAATTTGAAGACTTAGTTACTGTTCAAACGAGATAAAAATTCAGATATGCATAGTAATTTTCATGGTAGGGCTAGTAACGTCGATGGTTAGTGATAGAATTAATAAATGCCATCACTTCCATTCCACTGACACTATTGACACTCAACTGCCATTGCAACTAGATTCTATTAGAATTGCAATACAATCTCAAGGGAGTCTTAATGGAGATAATAATTAAGATATATTTCCATGGTACATTTAGAAAGGCAACGTCTGTCGTGGGCAATTGAATGAAATCATGAATGTCATCCCTGACACTCTATTGAGACTCTTCTGCCATTGCAACTAGATTTTAGTTTAATAACAAATCGTCGCCTTACTTTCTCAAACTCATATGTTAAAGCACAAACTTATTGAAGCAAAAAATGGATTGTATATACAAATTTTGCAGCCTGATTTCACATCACATTTCCGTCATATTTACATACTGGCTTTTATCTATTCTTAAAGTTATACATTCAAATTGTTAACAAATACCCCTTAATAAACCTTTGATAAGAAATTTAAAATAAATAGAAAGTTTTGCCATCTCCGAAATGATTATTCCGGAGATGGCTTTATAAGATCGACCCCTCCTACGTAAAGTATCATAAGTCGAAATTGCCAAGTTTACAGGGGAGCGTTTTGAAGTTCTGAATTCACTGAAATGAGCATATCACGTGATTTTACCATTTCTCAGTTTTATTCGAGAACGAGTTTTAAATTAACGAGCTTGGCAATTTCGACATATGATACTTTACGTAGGAGGGGTCGAGATACGAATTTGAGAAAGTAAGGCATCGATATATCATAATTGCAATATAATCTCAGTGGAGTCTCTCTAGAATTACAATGATCAGGGGTTTCAAAATTAGCGGAATTGAGGCCCTGTGTGTTTGTGGCTAGTAACGAGTGTTGTCCACAGGGTCCGTCAGCGTCGGCGTACGTGACGTACGTGTTATCGGCGGACGCGCTGCGTGCGATTCAGGGCGTGAACAACGTGACGCTCGACGGACGCGTACTCAAAGGCTCGCTAGGCACCACCAAGTACTGCGCCAATTTCATGAAGAACCAGCCCTGCCCCAAGCCCGATTGCATGTATTTGCACGAACTAGGTGAGTTGCACAAGTATCTTTTAGTCATAGGGTTTCTACAGGGCTCTTGTTGTTTTGCGTCACCGTTTAAAATTTTTTTACTTTATTTATTAAATTTTTTTGCTTTCAAAATGACCGAATATGGTGCTTGATAAAAGACCCAAAATTTCCTTCTGTCTAATGCTAATGAAAACAAAATGTAGTCGGCGCGGATCGTTTCTGCGATCCGAGCAGAAGCGACACGCGCAAATACATTTTTGCTCTTATTGCATGGATATAAAGTTTCATAACATAAGTCGTAAATTTTCGTGTCACTAAATTAGAAATAAATTTGCATAATTTTTTTACGGGATTTACCTCTTTAGTCTCACATTTGCTATAATCCAGATGTAAAGGTACTGCTGCTTGCCAACAATCGCCAATCAATATAATATCGTATTGCAGGTGATCCTAAAGCGTCGTTCACGAAGGAGGAGATGCACGCGGGCCTGCACCAGGTGTATGAGCGAAAGCTACACAACCAGCTGCTCGCCTCGCAGCGCGACTCCTCCAATAATAGTTCAGGTATGTTGACGGTTTTCCCAGCACGGTTCTCCAATAAGTTTCCAGATGAGGAACATTAACATTCCGTACGTCTTTGACTAACTAAATAACACTCCAAACAAGCATTACCAAATGTGAAATTTGAGTATTAACGACTGACTAGAGATGTTGCTTTAATAATTGTAATACTAAGTATATATTATTGATGTTCTATTGCCATGATATTCAATATTTTTTTGTGAAATTACTCCATTCGAACACAAATAAATATTTGTTCGATCCGCTTGGATTCGAACCAGTGTCTTCACCATACCGTGACTGACGCTCTCCAAACAGAGCTACGGAACCAACCAGCAGACCTGCCGAATTTTTCTATGTGCTTGTTACAGATCTTTATTTTTGGTTTTTAATGACTTTTTTGAGTGCCAATATGAATTAGACATAAGCGCCAATAATAGACCAACCGGCGGCTGCGCGCCGACAAAAAAGTGTCGGCGGCGGCGCGAGCGCGACCCTTAAACGAGTTTGTATATCGGTGTTTGTTTTTACAAAAACCGTTATACGAATAGTTTTTCATAGGAAAAAATAAAATAACGTATTTTCTATAGTAATCAAATTTTTATCAGTTCGATCAGGTATTCCGATGGTACGCACGCGCACGCTTCCATATTGTGTATGTCTAGTGAAAATGGCGACGCCAGAAATTGACAAAATAATTTTTTAAACAAAACATCTTTAAATATAAAATCACTAACTAATTTTTGTCGCCTATCTATGTCACCTCTGCTGAGGCCGGACGGCACGTTAACCTATACTGCAGATGACAAGGTAAACCACTCTTTCTTTGCAAAGAGTTCGCGTCTGGATCTAATCTTACCTCAGGCTGGCTGCACTATGGCGCCAATGCGCATACGCCAAAAAGAGGTACTTAGAACTCTGCAGAATCTAGACGTAAATAAAGCTAGCGGGCCAGAGGATTTCCTGCACTAGTCCTACGTAACTGTGCGCCTGAGTTGTCTCCTGTTCTCACACGCCTACACCTGTACCGCCTCTCACTTGAGACTGGTGTAGTTCGCAGGTCGTGGAAGCTTGCAAACGTGCAACCTATGCCGAAAAAGGGAAGCAGAGCTGACTCTGTCAACTATAGACCTATCTCAGTCACTACCACACTCTGCAAGACTATGGAACGTGTACTCAACAACCTTCTCTTGTCGTACCATGAAGATAACGACCGCCTCAGTGATCGCCAGTACGGATATCGACGAGGGCGATCAACTGGGGATCTTCTTGTGTATGCCTGTCACATATGGAGCGAGGCTATAGAAAAGCAAGGTGAAGCAGTTGCATTGTCTTTGTATATTTCTAAAGCCTATGACAAGGTCTGGCACGCAAACCTTTTAAGTAAACTTCCCTCTTATGGGCTTCCCACTGACCTTTGCAATTGGCTCTCGAATTTCTTGAGCGAACGTTCGATTCGAGTGGTCTTAGAAGACTACTCTTCCGAACATATGGCGATAGATTCCTTAGGGTTCGTACTGTCTGCAACTCTCTTTCTGCTGCATATGAATGATATGTTAATTCCAGGTACCTTTGCGTATGCTGATGATAACACAGTTGTAGATAGGTACTTGACCAATGCAAGGGTCAGTGGAGAGGAAATCCAGTCTTGTCGAGAGTCCATGGTTAGCCGTTTGGATTTGACACTCAAAGCAGTCTCCAATTGGACGATGCCAAATTTAACGTCTCTTTGACCTGACTCCGTCTTTTCGTGATATACCTATCCATACCGATAGCCGACTGTCTCCAGCTACTTGGAATGGACCAGTCGTCCAATTTGTACTTCGGCAGATACATTGAATCCATGGCCAAATGTGCAGCAAAGAAGCTTGGGATCCTTTCCAGGCTGAGGTGTTACTTCACACCATACAAACACCATATCTTTCTACGTTAGTTTTGATTATAGTGACCCTCCCTACCTACCCTTAGGGCTATATACGAGAAGGACACTATAACCTGTGCTCGCACAGGAACCTTACAAGTTCAGGTTCTGACCCCAGATCAGCCAGTGTACAGGGTTCTCACAGACCTCTGTCACTTGACTTCATCCGGTTCTTCGAGAGGCTAATGCGTCGGGTAGCCGCCCCGGGTGCACGTAAAGAACCCTCCCTATTTTTCAGATAGGTACCGGAGCTGTAGGTACGCTCACTTCTCGACGCCGAAAAACGATGTCTCTCCAGTTCCCAATAACCTAAGCGGCTTTGAGGGACCGGAGGATATCTAGCTAATCCTTTACTAGCTCTCCGGGCTAGTGCCGGAGATGCCAGTCGCAGTGTCCTTCGACAATGTCCGGTCATAGCTTCCAACTTAAAGGGCAACTCACGTGCCGCGCATCTCCTCGCGTACAGGCCGTCAACTAGACCGCTACTAAGACGCGCTAGCTGCTCACGAGACAGACGCCCCGGACACATCCAAAACCGGGGCAGACAAACATGTGCGTCTCTGCAGCTAACCACAAACCCCAGCGAGTCCATACCCAAGTCTGGGTCCGCCAGAACGCCCGCAAAGGCGTATCACTGGCGGCGGGCTTGGCCCTGACGCCCGCTGTAGCCTGGTCTTGCCGTCGAGCCCGTAGTCTCTCCAGAAAACCCTATCTCTCGGGTCGGTAGATAGGGACAGTTGCTTTAGCTGTACTAAGCACAAGTCCGGTCGTGCATGGAGTACTATTGCCACCTTTAGGATGGCTCTGTTACATACCAACTGGCCACCTTTGATTCAATTGACAACCGTGCCAAGTACTTAGACACCGCCGTAAAGTTGCCAGCTTATCGGTATTTTGCAGGATATATCATGGAGAGTGTGCGTTGGAATTACACGATTTAATTCCGCTTTCCCCTTTGTATCACCGGGGGACTAGGCGTAGACTTGGGTTCCACCTCTATGTTGTGGATATTCCAAAGATTCGCACCAAGCGTTACACTTCCACATTGATATGGCGAACGGCTATGGAGTGGAATTCCCTGCCTGCAGACTTGTTCCCTGCACGTTATAACTTGGGGGGCCTTTTCATGGCAAAAGTGAATAGGCATTTATCTATCGTCAACCTCATCGTCACTGTCCATCAGGTGAGATGGAGGTCAAATGCGAACTTACATTTTATAAAAAAAAAGTTTTATCTTAGAAAAGTCATTTTCTGGCGTCGCCATTTTCACATACACAATACGGAAGCGTGCGCGTGCGTACGATCAGAGCGCCTGATCGAACAGAACTACGCGCCGATTACATTAGTCGGCGGCGGCGGCGGCGCGCCGGCGCGTCGCTTATGTCTAATATGAATACAGCATTGTATGAAACTTTAAAAATTACATTGTATTTATTTGATTGTGTCAAAATTCCGTGATCGTTTGATCATTAACGTATTTTCTGTTATGTAACTTTCAGGTAATTCTAGTACGAATGCAGAAAAGGGCAGTTCAAAAGACGGCAATCCATCGAACTTTATACCGACGACAGTGATCACATCGTCTCATATAAACGTAGTCAATTCATCTAAGTAAGTACTTATCCTACATATTCTAACCAGGAACTCATAAAAATGGTCCCAATCAATCATTTTTCATTTTGTTTTGAAAGTGACAAAGAAACACTATTTTCATGAGGATCTGGTTAATCTTTATATAATTACAAACATATTTGAACATAAATCGCTTATTTTATTACAGTGTTATGGTTTCGATTCTGAACAAACGTAAATAAATTACAATTTCACCTTAATTTGATAAATACGAAAAATTTACTGATAACATTTTTAAATTATGATTACTTTTCTGCATATTTCATTAATGCTATTTCTAGTTTAATTGTGTTATTTTGTACGTATTCTTATAAGTTTTAATCAAGTTCATATTAAATATTCTAGTAAGTAAGCCGTCGCTGTTGTTGTTTACAGATCTAATAATAATAAAAAAGAAAGTGTGAACGGGACTGGTCCTAGTAACGGTAAAGATAGTAGCGGAAGCGGTAGTGGTAGCGGGAGCGCAAGCAGTAGCGTGGGTGGGAGCAGTAGCGGTAAGGAGGCGTGGCCCAGCCTCGGCAGCTCTCCACCTTCCGATAGTCCCGCACGTAAACTGCCCAGTCCCAAGCCGCACCACACACAAGGTGATTATCTTCAAGGTTTTTTTCCGCTTGTTACGATATTAAAAATAATACCTTATACTTTGTTCCCATTGTAGCTATGACGTTTGAATGTTTTATAATATGCGTAAGTTATCTTTATGGAAACAAATTGTACAATGACCTGTTTACTTTTTATTTAGTGGCCTTTATTTGAATTGTTGACTTGTATAAATTAGTACATGTGTAGTAAATCAAATGATTTAATTTTCAGCTAAATCACAAGAAAATGGTACATCAGAATCGTCCAGTCCTACACTACTCTCACAACAGTCAGCGCAAACGAAAAGCAAAGAAACGGACAGCAAATCCAGCAGAAAAGACAGCACAAACTCCCAAACAAATAGCAACAGTAATAAGAAAAACAAATCCGATAAACAGAAAAAGAATAATAGTATTAACAATGAAGACACAGAAATAGTAGATAAACCTATATACAATAATACACAATCACATTCTGTTTTCGAAAACGACACACAACAGTACCTATCTAACGAATTGGATGAGCTAGAATCTGATAGACATAGCTTGTTAGAGAATCACGATTTGCTGGATAACAGCGATCACAGTTTGCTGGATGACGATAATACACACAATCTGTTGAACGATACTAATAATGATATAATGATGCAAAGGCACACAATGTTAGCAGGCCTCGTCGACAACAACCATTTATTGCCGCAAGTGAAGAGTCCCCTTGTAAATGGATACGGCTTGTTGGACAGGGATATTGGCTACGATAGGCAGCTTAGTCAAATGGGCAGTGGCCTCGTGGACCAGAAAGAACTACTACTTAGAGAACGAAGCCGGAGCGAAATGTTAATGCGACAGAATGAAATGCTTGCGAGGCAGCACAATGTTATGGTCGAGCCTAAACACTATATGCCCCCGTCTAGTATAGGCCTCGACTCGACTAGTGAATTATTAGGTGAGTTCACATTTCTAAGTTGTTTTTAGTCATAATTATTCATTATAGTCTGTCTTTTTTGAAGACCTAGATAAATGACATTTGCAGTGTTGCCAGTTTTCATAAAATTTTAAATAGTTGTCGACAGTTTTATCGATAGATTTTGAAACAAGGTAAAATATAGCCAAAAATGTTTGAATTGTGAATGTTACGACGTTCTAATGATTACTTATGTATTTATTGCCTTCTTTATTTTTATTTTGACGGTTGGCCTACTGGAATCGAAATCAACTTTTATTCATATACATTTTAACAAGAACAGGCGATATTTGATTATCTATATTGAATTGAAATGAAAAACTTTAGAATATGTCTCTTCTTTGTATTTTTAATGGACATAATTCTAAATGCAGTCTGAATGCAGTGAACTTAGGAAAAATGACAATTCAAATGAACCTGTGCCCACCAGTTGGACAATTAATGAGTGATGATGACTCAAATGAAACAAGTTCGGCTATTTATTGCATAAACGTGACCAACATTCAATCGATAGTCGATACAATATTTATCGACAGCAATCCCTAGCTGCTTGCGACCGGCAACACTTGCGCAATGAACTGTCATTTTATTCCATCGTCAAAAAAGACAGACTATATATATATATATTTTTAAATTATATTTGACGACTTTACAGGGAATTTTCTAGTTGGAGACCAGGGACCTAAGTCTGCTAATTGTAAATAACGTCGCTTGTGTGACCACGGCTCGAGCTCCTACTCAACTGCCATTGTATTTTTTTGTATTCTGCTTTTCAATGACGAGACGATGGCACTCTTAATTATTTGACATAAAATATATTTAATTAATTGCTGATTAGACAAGATAGAAATTAAGATATGCGTAGTAATTTCCATGATAGTTTTGTAAGGCAACATCGATCTTTAGTGATTGAATGAATGCTATTACTGCCATTCTACACAATATATTTTAGCAGAATAACGAATTTTATCATAATCGCTCGACCATATCAGTGGAATATGACCAAGGGTTTCAGGAGAATTAGCAGACTTGGGGACCAGGTAATTGGTGTGTTTATGTGACGCTTTATTGTTATTAAAAAAAGTATATGTCATAAGAAAAATAGTACGTGGGTCCCACCGGTTAAATTATTATGGTTTCTTAGTACGGTTACGCACTGCATCCCTTTTCGTTCCGAATCCGAGACTAGAAAAATCTAGAAAACTCGGATCCACTTCGGATGTCGCTTGTCTGATCTGATGACATGAGAAAATAAAAAAATCACTTGTACATACATCCAGTGATAAAATGATCCCTGTAATTTATACGAATCGGACGTATTGCGCAAACGTTCGTAGTCATAATTTAAACAATGGATACTTTATAGTATTTCTACTATGAATTATTTTTAAAACGTAAAATAACTTATTAATTTTTCATATTTACGTAAAAAAAGGCAGCTTCACCGAATGACTAAACTTTTTGCACTTACACAATTATCTTTTTTACAAAACCAGCCTCAAAATTTTGTGAAATTACATCTATTTGCCAAGTTTTATTGAAGTTAGTTAAAGTAAATTCGGTGAAATCCAATAAACCAAATTCATCCATTGATACGCCACCCTTTGAGGTGGAATATTTTCTTCAAATTTGAATGGAGCTACTATTGAGGTACGCCCATTCTAACAACAAGGTATCATCGAAATCCGTTCACAAATGTCGGAGTAATCGCGTAACTTACACAAAAAAATACAGACGAAGTGAGAACCTCCAATTTTTTTGAAGTCGGTTAAAAATTTACGGACTTGGTAAGACAAAAAGCTGGCACCAGAACCACTTATGCAGAAAATCCAAAGTCAAGCAATTACAATGTTTTTCGTGCGTGTGAAGGTTCCGCGGTAACATACACAAAAAAATGCAGTCGAATTGATACCTCCTCCTGTCGATTAAAAAATAGACATTGGTAAAACATGGCATTAATCCAACTACATCAATGTACAGACGGCTACAAATCAATCTACACATTGACGGATCTTGTTCCGTTGCACTGGAGGCGATATTCGAAAAACCAAACAAAAGGTTGATGTGCTGTTGACTGCACATTTACTGTTACGACTTTTATTTAGAAATGTAGACTTAATTGTAAATAAAATTGTTGCAGGTGCTAATTTTCATCCAAATCCCAATATGCTTCCATTCGGTATGCGCGTAGATAATTCAATGGCGTCTAACTCAATGAGTAATTCGATGGGTGGAAACTCGATGTCGGCCAGCTCACTGAGCTCCATGGGCTTCATGCTCCACAGCCAACAGATGTTGCAACAGAACCAGCAACAGATGCAGTCGCAGATGGTTAATGGGTTCGATTCTCCTCAATCTGCTGTAAGTATTGATGTGTATAAATACGGTCAGTTTTAATTGTCTTGGAGTCTTGTTAACCAAATAGATAATGAAATAGGCCTTGGCCTTATTAAAAGGCATATGAATAAAAATCGTTTTCGATGCTAGCCGGCCAACCATCAAAATAAGAATGAAAAAGGCAGTGACGCAATCAGTTAGCGTAACATTCACAAGTCAGACATTTTTGGCAAAATTTTACCTTTTTTCACAATCATCGATAATACTGTCGACAACAACCACATAACTATTTAAAATTTTATGAAAACTGGTAACCCTGCAAATGTTATTTTACTACGTCCTCAAAAAAGACAGACTAAAGAAGAGCTTTTCGTTCGTAAACCACAGAGCGAAGGGCGCTACCTCGCGGAAAATATGGACAAGTTCTTCACCGACTTCCACAAGGCGCAGCAGATGCGGCTGCTGATGGGCGGGCGCGGAACCACACAGGGGCAGGGCGTGACGCAGTCGCAGACGGGGCACGCGACGGCGGACGAACGCCGTTACCACTTGCCGCACAACATGCTGCAGGCCGCTAGTCTCGAGATGGAGCACAAGCAGAGGTGCACCTTTACTTATTGTACAGATTTCACTTACATAGCGCAACAATTCTTATACTTCGTTTCAATCCATTTTACAGGAAAAGTAAATAAACAGATCACTGACCCGACCATAGATGATTTAGTGATGGCCAAATTGTACTTGCCAACTACAAATCGATTAATTAATGTAATGAATCGATTTGTTTAATTGAATCAGTTAGTTGAGTGATTTTACGATACGATTTCATATATAGGATTAGAAAATTATAATCTGTACGGGTTGTATTGAATTCTGGAATAAAAGCATAGAAAGATTCAGAGCAACCGAACACTTATATTTAAACAAAACATTCGTTATTTGACAACCTTTTTTCTTTTTTTAAAAAAAAAGTTGTTTATATTAAAAATTAAAAAACGACGAGAGTCCGGAAAAAGGCCCTTACATAATCGCTCGCCAAATTGGCTCACGTTTTTCTATTTCATCTTGGAACTCAATACTTAGGTATAATTTAAATTATTCGTTGAATTTGTAACTTTCCGACGCATTAATAATATTTTTGAGTATGACTGATTCCTTGAGTAAATTTACCGGAAAAGGAAAATGTATTTGGTCAACCGATGCGATTTCGTTGTTTTAACATCTTGCTATCTTGTAGGTTGTCTATACAGATCCCTTTTTATTGGATAATGGTCTTACAGTGTTTTAATAACAAATAACTATAAGGAACCTTATAATTGCATAGAATGAACAATATGCGAGGCAACGAAGGGCTGGGACACCGCGCGGCTGGCGACGGTGACGATGACCTCGATTTTGATCCCTTCAAAGAAACACAAAAGGCGCTCGCGGAAATGATGGAGACGGAACTCATGCAAAATACTGTTTCTAGCGGGTTAGTATATATGCGAAGTAGAAAGTATTTATAAATCCTATGAGCTTATGATAACCAAAGACGCCTATAAGTCGTTGTTCACACGTTCCCTGAGACTAAACGACATTAAAACTATTACGGCAAGGACGGCTTTTTGATGTTTTAGTTTTCACTTCGTTCTTTGTAATTTGCCATGTCCCTTTTTGACGGTTACATAATATCTTACGGCCGATGCCTTGTGTGGAATGTCAGCAAATTGAATTGATAGATTTTTTAAAATATGATTTTTTTTGTGTCGAAGTGACGAACAAGTCATGCGCCTGGTGGTAAGCGACACGCGTGTCCATAACAGTTGCAGTGCCACTTAGTGCTTTAAATCGTAAAGATCTGAGGGGCACTGCCACTGCGCCAGCCACCCTGAGACGTAAGTTAACAAGTCCCATGTGCCAGCAATTTTAACAGCGCCCTTACAAGGGTAATGCTTGGCGGCAGAAATGGTTAAGATGGCAGTACTTCCTTGGACGAATTCTTTCACAGGGAGTTCTACTGCTACTAAATCATACCATAATGACGAAGAATGACGAAGTGATGTGTACCTACGGTAACCTTTGCAGAGATAACATGGAGCGTGTGCGGCGCAGCGGCTGCGGCTCTGTCGCGAGTGCACGCCTGCCGCCGCCCGGTTTCAGCCCCATGACGGCCTTCCTGCACCAGCCACAGTTGCCACGTCCACACAACACGCACCACCAAGGTGCGTGTCACCATTTTAGCCGAAGTCAATAAACGGTGTTGATTCGCGCAGATGCAAAATTAAGTTTAGTGCATCTGACTCTTTCGTTAGAAAAAATGATAAAACTCTAATTGACTTATGGGGATCACGTTGCTGAAATCCGATCCTGGAACAAATATGAAAATTCAAATCTCCATTTTTTTTAGAATTTAGAACTGTTACACGGTTACTATTTGTGAACCGATTTTGATTCTTTTTTAGTTGAAAAGAGGATACCTCAGAAAATATTCCACCTCTAACGGTGGCAAACTAGGGGATGAATCCGGTTACGCGCACTTTCCGTTTACCAGTTTCAATAAAACTTGGCAAATAGATGTAATTCCAATAAAAAAAACCGATAAACAAATGCATGCAACTTAAGATTTCGTTTCCCTGAATCGATGCCATTTTTGTATATTGACGATTATATGTTTGGTTTCACCGATTACTGAGAGATACGAAAGGCGCGCTCGTCTACAGCCGCCAGCTAATTGCAGCACGCCCTCACGAACACCGGCACATAAGCTACATTATATTTGTGTGTCACTGTGCGACCTTACCTATATTTTGGTAGTGAAACTACGTACACGTGGTTAGCATGTCCTTTGGCCACAATTGGCTAGCGTCTTTATAATCACTTTACAATCAGCCACGGTGTATGTCGTGATTTTGTCAAATGTCTTCCCCTATCTGCCCCACAAGCTGGATGGATGGATCCGTAGGTGTACACTGCAACTAGGTCTTTTATTCTTGGTTACCCAAGGGTACAGTCCCGAACGACCTACTCCGTTTACAGGTTTCAATTCGAACAGCGCCATTGTCTCAGACTGGACCCAGATGGACCCGGCGATCATGTCCACGTCGGTGAACTTCGGCAACAAGCCGACGGCCGCCACGAACGCGAGCGCCAGTGCGGGCTCCCTGTCCGCGCAGCAGCAGGAGCTGTTCGCGCGGTTCAACCAGCTGTCGGTGCAGCCCAACGGGCTGAAGGTGCCGCTGCAGCAGTGGGGCGTGGCGCCCACCGCGCCGCCCAAGCTGGGCTGGGGCTCGGGCGCCTTCGCCGGCATCCCCCTGCCCCCCGGCTTCGCGCCGCCCAAGGCCAACGCCCACCCCGCCGAGTGCATCGACGCCAAGTAGACGTGCAATCCGACACACCACGCGATATTATATTTTCTATTCAGTAACATTATTGTTCTTTCCGTTGGTGATGTGATCGATAAATCTTTGTATTAAGAAGAGCATATTTTAAACGAGAGAAATATGATAACAAAGGAATTTGTAAAATAAATTAACATATTTGTTTTATTTAAAAAAAATATTTAGTTTTCTTTTCGTTCGCTTTCGGCTCGCTGTCCCTCTTATCATATTTCTTAAAGGTTCATCTTTCGTTCTATTTCCTTCGCTGGGCACGATATATGTACATTCGTTATATATTATATATTTACTTGAATCATATCCCTGTTCAGATTATATTTTCTATATTAAAATGAAATGCCGTTAACTCGCTGTTCCATTTGTACCTTGTTGAGTCATTATCCATGAGAAAGATCATTAAACTAAAGCAAGAGAACATTCATTCTTTTAATGATACACCTCCATCAAATCACATCACAATTATTATTCAAATTTAGGTCTTACAAACAGCAACATTAAATTAAACCACATAAAAAACCTAATAGAACATGGTATGTATAATTAAAATTTTATGAATATTATATATTTGTAACAGTACACTGCAGTCAAAACGTAATAGACTAGTAGCATCGAATAATGAACCACAATTTATAGATAAAAAGCGACGGTTCTTATAATATCAGTTATTTAATGAGACGACCCTACAAGGATCAGTTTTACATACTGAACAAAATAATGTATTGCATAACGATGTCAAATTTAACTTCGTCTTTTTCGTTACCAGTAAAAAAAAAAACAAGGTTAATTTTATTGCAGAGACAATTTTAGTTTCACCTTTATCAGCAGTAGTTCTTGACTGCTTATTGATGATGCTAGAGGAACGCTTTTAAAGAAATTTAGATTACGTTCTCGCGAATCTATGCCATTTATGTACACACTAGTGAGAACATTATGGTGTATTTACAAAGTGACGATTACTGTCTTCGACAGACTACTTCACCTTGCCGAAGTAGAAGCTGTATGTAGTTGACTCGCTGTTTATCCTGAGTCGACAGACGTCTCTTCGGCTGACAGAGGCGGCGTAGTCGATGCGCTGTTTACACTGAGCCGACTGCCGCCTTTATCAAAATCACCAAGTTATTATAAATACAAATATACGCAGAGACAACAAAACGTGGAACAGACTGATCGTATAAGTAGATATTCTTCGACCTTCGTTAGTTTGGTCGCCTGACTGAGATTACACCTAGTCGACTCGGTCGACTTTGGCAACCGAAGACGGCCTGACGACCTAGTGTAAACACGCCATTCGGGCGATTAATAAATATATGATTACATAGCAGTTGCCCAGTGAAACTGAATTTGTTTCCTCGATCTACTCTACATTCTCAGTCCCTGGTGAACTGAAAGTGTAAATTAAAGAAGAGTCAAAATTTAATAGGAACCTCGTGTTATTGAATGGGTATGGTGAGTTCTGATGTCCTCTGAACTATAAATCTTTTCTTCCATCGATGTATCCTCTAGGATCTGGACCGTCCCAAGGTACGACAGTGCCATTATTCCAAAAGTACTGTCCACCCGTGGAAGTTTCTAGAGCCAACTTTAGTGGTATTACGGCACCTTCTTCGGGAGTGATGGAGCCACCACCGCGCGTCATATCCGATTTTACGTAGCCAGGATGTACGCAATTTACAAGGATTCCTGGAAAAATTCAAAATTAGATTATATATAGTTGATTTTGGCACCTGATAGTCTTATTAGGCGAAGTTTTTAGATGCTTAAAGAAGCGCAGTAGTGGCGCCAATACTAATTTTCATACAATAATTAAGCGAACGTCTTAAGTCACGTCGTTGCATGCAACCAACTACGCCAGCTAAGCTGACTTAGCTTAGCTCACGTAGTTGCATGCAAAGCCAAGCTAAGAAAATACGTACGAAAATAAGAAAACACGGGCATGTTTTACATAGCTGAAAAGCGACAGCGACTGAAGCCTCCTACATATAAACCCATTATAGGTATTGCAGTAGGTAGGTTAGATTTAAGAACCAATGTATATTTTTGTTTTGGAAAATAAATTAAAAAAAAAAAAAGCTAGCGGGATCGTTGGATTAGTTTACTTAGCTCGGTTAGCTTAGTTCGCGGTGTGAACCGAAGCATGAAAAGATGCCCCGACTACGTGAGCTAAGCTAGCTTGGCTTCGGCCGCGGTGTGGCCTGCACATTACAAGTGCAATTGTAGCGCCACTGTCGTGCGTAACACGCGCGCGCAACTTTTGCAGTCACAATTTTATTACTGAACTAAAAATTACGCGCGGCTGCCGCGCCAATGCTGCGCTTCTACAAGCGTCTAATTTGAAAGCGCCGTTTGTCTATGGTTTTGACAGTTGCATGAAAGACGTTAGTTCAGACGGTAGTTACGAGGGTACAATAGTAATAGTCGGTAAATACCGAAGTCTGGAAATATGTATAGACGTTTGAGAATGGGGAATATTGTTAAGTGACCTGTAACACTAATGTATCTCTTACGGTGGGTATTCATTAGGTTCGCGCACCAACTCTGCTCCGCGCATTTGTAACCTGAGCGGTTACAAATGGAGACGTTCGCGTCACTACAAGAAAACCGAGTGCTCCATTAGGTTCGCGCATCGACTCTGCTAAAACGTCTTGCTTCACTCGCGTCCATGAACACTGCGCTCAGATTTGTGTTCACGCAAAAGTCGCTAACGTGCAAGCCTACAACGTTGCATGCGAACGTATGCACTAGTGGAGCAGTTGCCTAATGGATACCCACCTTTATGTTGGTATTCAAAAATTACTACGGGCACTTTCATTGCGTGTGCTAAACAGGATATGGAAAAAGCAGTTTCATAACAACCATACCTTTGCATCAGTCTAGACAGGCTGCACGCGAGTGAGGTGAGAACCGGATTGTCGACAACAATAATTGTAATAACCTATTTTAAGCAATTTATTGATAATAATAACTCACCCCTATCCTGCAACCTTCGATGTAAAATAAACGTATAAGCGTTCACTGCGACCTTGGAAATCACATACGGGTTACCACCCCAACCATCTTCAACGTCCTTATTTCGTCTTATTGCTTCCGAGTACAATGTTATTAATTCTGTCAACTCATTTAAGGTTAAATTTGGATTTTTGAATCTTTTGCGTAAATCTTCACTAGGTATCCTCGAAAGGTGTCCAGAAGAACTGGATATATTGACAATTCGGCTATTATTTTTCATCAAAGGTAAAATAGCTTCAGTAAAGTTTACTAGAGCGGAAAAATTTACTAATACCGTTTGTTCTTTTTGATACTTTATAGGTTCTTGTGCATCTTTGAGGAACAATATTCCGGCGTTGTTTACCAGGATATCTATGCCTTGGTGTTTATTTTTCAAATATTCAAAAAACTTTCTTATACTATCTACGTCTGAGACATCCAGTTGATGAAATTGCGGTTTATAATTTAATTTCTCTAGCTCTTCACACGCTTCCAGCCCCCTTTTTACGTTTCGAGATGTTAGGTAAGTAATCCCGTCGAATTTCTTACAAAGTCCTTTTACTATTGCTAATCCTAGTCCTTTGTTGGCACCGGTTACAATTGCAACTTTTTCAGACATTTTATAGCAAATATAACTTTAAACGACGATATGGTGTTGCTGCGTGCTTCTGTCTGGGGCTTGTCGAAGCTGCTTCGCATCTGTGAAAAGTATGCTAACAGTCACGGTTTGCTATATAATGTAAAAAAAAGTGAATGCATGGTCTTCCAGGCTCAGGGAGGGTGTCTAAATAAAATACCATTTGTTAAACTTTACGGGTGTACCCTAAATAGAGTGGAAAAGTTGAAGTATCTTGTACATTTTGTAACCTCGGGCCTGGAGGACGACGCTAACATGGAGAGGGAGCGTAGGGCGTTGTCTGTTAAAGCTAATATGATAGCTCGCAGATTTGTTCGATGTTCGAGAGACGTCAAGATCACCCTCTTCAGGGCATTTTGTACGTCCTTCTATACTAGTAGTCTGTGGGTGAAATATAAGTTAAAACAATACAGCGCTTGTCCAGCACAATAATGCATTTAGGGTGCTGTTCGGGCTGCCTCGCTTCTGCAGCGCATCGGGGATGTTTGCTGAAGCCCGCATAGATTGCTTCCATGCAATCATGCGCAAGCGGTGCACATCACTGGTACGCAGGGTGCGGGTCAGCCGCAACAGTATCCTAAAGACATTTGCTGAACGCTTTGACTGTTAATACATGAACCATTTTAACATGGTGCATCTATTGACTAAATCTAAAATAGTATTCTAATTGTAATGTAATTTTATTATTATTTATTTTATTTTTGAGTTTAATTGTATTAAATCTTTGTAATGTTATGATCCATGTTGGTCGAATAAATAATTTATTATTAAAGACCAACAAATTATTTTATTTTTAACAATTTTTAAAGAGTGATTGTCAATTAATGTTTTTTCCCTCAAGTTATAATATGAAAACTGTTCGCGTAAATATTTTTTCTGCGAAAATCTTCAATGCTTTTATAAATAATTAAATGCTTAATTAATAATTCCTTAATTTTTATTATTCCCGAATTAACGGGATAAATAATTTTGTATTTTTTCTACAACTGAATATCCATTGAAAAAAAAAATCAACATATGTTTATTCCATATTATTATATGAAGGAAATCACGCTAGAGCACGTCAAATTGTTCAAATAAACAACTACTCATTCGAAACGCAGATTGTCACAGTAGAATAAGAGAGAAACTAGGAATTGTTCTTTGTAAGTTGAAATTTGTTCGCATTTATCGTTTACAATAATTGTGTGTTGTTTATCTTTGCACCCGAACTTTACTTTGTATTTCATCATTGTAGAGTTTTTACACTATCTATTTCTATACAGGCCAGTCTGAATTTATAGCACATTGGTTTAATTGAATATGTATATCTCATTATACCAATTAGCCAATAAACATGAACAACAATTACCAACTAATTATATTTTAGAGTATAATAACCAATGAGAGGTTAAATTTATTATCTTAAAGTTTATTTGGGATATAATAAGTACTTCGATAACTTTGCGTAATGATTGGTATGTAGGATTTGCCAGGAAAAGATGTGGAATAACAATTTTAGGTCTAAAAATGTCAAAGTATTTTTTAAACAAAACTAACTCTGTAATCGAGTACACTTAAGTTTTGATTAGAAACTTGCAGTAATTTCTTCAACTCACCCTTATTTACAATCGAATTACAATTTACAATTAATTTCGTCTATATCGGAAATTGTTTCGGTAAACATCTAGAACAGTTTGATACGATAACGTTAGGCGTGTCGAGTAAACAAACCTCAACGTATTTTATACTACACGACTGGTCGTTGCTTCCCCATGAGTAATTGAGAGCGTTGTTAGCATTAGGTAAATATATCAACGTGCTTAAGCACTTTTAAATAATATATTCAATATTTTCCCTTCTTGTTATATCGGTTGTAAATTTTGTTCTTACTTATACTATTCGATATATACGGCAAAAAGCTTTCCTATAATTAATCAACATCGGTACACCTCTGGTTAGGTATATGCTTCTCCGAAGGCACACCATAGTCAATTCTGTTACGATACATATAACTTCTACCAACTTTTTTCCACTCAATATTTGAATAGGAATCAATACATTCAACGGTCGCTTTAATAGGATTATTTCCTCATTTTGTTATTTGCTCGACGACACGTTACGTATCCGTGTCGTGTGTTGTTTGCCCCACTTTTTATCTATTCTTCAATTAGTTGAACATGATTACCGATAGATGTCTATACTAGCTCAGTATAAATATGCGCCATCTACCTTAATATCGAGTAACAACATAACAGTTAGTATTCACGTTCTCGTTCGTATAAACAGTAAATATTATCAATCATTGTTGTGATAAAGCACGTGAAGTTTCTAGAATATCGGTATTCTTAGCAATGTTTTTAATAAGACCGTCGAGTTTTGGTGACGAAGTGGTCTTAGACTCCATAGATTGGATAGAAAACTTTCCTTGGAGACAAGAAACTGGGATAAGAAAAAACAACGACGTATATGAAATTTGTTTACGGGCAAAGGACTTCGGACCTAAGGAAATAAGCGTGAAAACAAATAACGGATTCATTGTAGTAGAAGGTAAACACGAAGAAAAAAAAGACGAGGAAGGTTACATTTCTAGACATTTTGTGAGAAGGTTTACACTTCCTGAAGATAGTGTTGCTGAGAAAGTGGAGTCAATATTGTCAGCAGACGGAATCTTAACTATTACGGCACCGAGGAAGACTGTGGCAAAACGTGATACTGTAGTCATTCCAGTTACACATGAGTCTAAAGTTAAATCTAAATTGTAATTTAATATCTAAGTATTAATTGGAATTGTAATAAATTGGAGGTGGTTGACTAAAATTGTTTAATGTGATTTCGTTTAGGTTGGATGTGTACTTTTTGTACTTATTGCATACACACATGCATATTACATATAACAGAAACATCGTCAATCTATTTTACGTCCCACTATTTTTCTCAGGAGTTTAGTCCACAATGGTTGCACAATGTGGGTTGGGGATTTTTTGACGTATAGGTTATATCGGGATACGCATTGACTTACAATTATATGTACGTCGGAACCGCGCTAAAAAGTGTCCGAACTTATAGGGCGTTAAAATTGTATACAGAGCGTCATTCACGCTTTAGTCTTCGTTTGTTCGACTGACAGCGAAGCAAGCAAAATTAGACAGTACTACGATGACATTACAATTTAAATTAACGTTTTAGCTTTTTCATATTCCTTTACATGTCACTACGTTTAAATAGGTTGACTTGGGACATTTTTTTTCGTGGTTTTTGTATTAGACCCGTCGTCCATTTATTTGTAAGTCAATGGGGATACGTATAAATTTTATTCTAAATGTAAAAGATTTAACCGTCTAAATCATAAAAATAAAAAAGTAAGTAGGTACAAAAATCATATCTACCAGTAATTGATTTATTTCATTTTGTTTACGCTATTTCTGTCTAATTTGGGTGCGTTCGTAAACTATTTAGGATATAGTTGAATGTAACAAATCTCGACGTCGAAAGTTGCGATACTTAGGTAAATCAATTCAAATTAAAAAAAATATTTGGTGATCTACCTGCGTAATCCACTATAGGTTCCTGAACAACCACGGTTAATTAACTGATCTTCACCATTGCACTGCTGCACGAGAACGCCAAGCAGCGCATACTGCCGAGCAATAAATACATCTCCATTTTAGACGCCCAGTGACGGAACGTTATGGCAAGGAACTTTTAGGCAACGAATACTATCTACTCGAGGTACTAGTGGCGTAAATGACGAATCGGACGTGTAGCGTAACGGTTTTTATTAAAAAAAAACGCAAACAGAAAAATAATCATAAATTGAAGACAGAGCACCTCTTATCAAATATATAGTGTATTAACTATGCTCTTATTTAGACAATCAAATCAACCTTTCTCTAAACCAAACAGTGTTACCATTTTACAATTATTGTACTTAGTTACTATTATCGTTTCACCACTCCCGCAGTGCCTGAAGACCAGGGTTTACAACCAATGCGTTCTACCGGTCATGACTTACGGAGCCGAGACGTGGAATATGACGGTCAAACTGGCTTACAGACTACACGTCGCTCAGCGAGCTATAGAAAGGTCTATGCTGGGTATCTCGTTAAGGGACAAAGTCCGGAACGAAGTTATCATAAGACTAAAGTTGTGGTAATCGTCCAAAAATGTAGCAAGCTGAAGCCACGCCACCTAGTGGCAAAATTCAAAAGGATTGGGGCTGGTAACAACACTTTCGAGGTATTGTAGTTGAGATTTTCATTATAATGGTCGTAGCAACAAAAACAAAGCTGCGGTAAGCTTAGGGATATCGAGCCGGCAGCCTCCGGAATATTCAAATTCAAAATAATCTTTATTTCGTAGGTAAGCATTATTACACTTGAAATCGTCACATTGGTTAAACTCTACCGTTCAGTCGTAAGGCAGATTCCCCAGAGAAAAATGAGCAAGAAACTCTAGGGGGTTGCTTTTTGTAAATAACATTTGTACACATTCAACATTTACAATATAATATGTATATATTTTTTGTTTTGAAACATCAGAGATCGAGACTACCTCCATGAGCTAAACGGGTTACTACCACGGATTTTTGTCATCCAAGTACGCAGAAGTTGTATAATAATCTTTAGTAGAAAGTTTTTGTTTCACTATAGTTTTAAACCTCTTTAGTGGAAAATTTTGTATATCAACCGGAATCTTGTTATAGAAGCGTATACATATCTTGTTATATAGCGTAAGGGTAGATGTATTGTTATAAATAAATAAATAAATTACATTGCCCCATAGATGAATTTGTGACTTTTGATGATTTTTATTCCTCGTATTAATGTTGTCTGTCACTATTTTTCATAAAGAAATTACTATTCCTCTTAACATAAATTATATTTTCATAAATGTACTGTGAGGCTAGTGTAAGAATGTTAATTTCCTTAAACTTATCTCTCAAAGATACTCTGGGGCCCAGATTGTAAATTGCCCTAACCGCACGTTTCTGCAGGACAAAGATTGTATTGATATCGGCGGCATTACATTACATTAGCAAAGTGCCGTACCTATGTCATTAGACTGCGAAAGTAGCTGAAGTAACCCAATCTAGTGGTTCCGACGTCTGAAAGTTTCCGTATTTTTATAATCGCGTACACTGCAGAGCCGGGCCGTTTTGATAACTTACTTATATGGGGACCCCATTGCAATTTAGCATCTAACGTTATATCTAGAAATACAACTGTATCCACAAGATTCAATTTTTCCTTTCTAACTACAATGTTTGTAACCGTCTCTCTAATATTGGGTAATGTAAATTTCACACAATTTGTTTTTTCTCGTTCAGGAGTAGGTTATTAACAGCAAACCAATCAACTACGTTAGATATAGCATTGTTCACACCGTCGTAGGAACATTGGTACCTTTTAACTTTAAATAATAATAAAGTATCATCAGCAAACAATACTATCTCATGTTTTATACCCTTCATGAGGCTAGATAAGTCATTAATGTAAACTAAAAACAAAAATGGGCCTAGAATTGAACCTTGAGAGACACCCATGCTAATTGCCGACCCTGATGATCTCGTACCGTTAACATCGACCCTCTGTACCATACCACGCAAATACGATTTAAGAAGGTCGAGGTCACGTCCCGCCACACCATAATGACGAGGTTTCCTGACCAGTGTATCATGGTGCACACAATCAAACACCTTGGAAAGGTCACAGAATACACCAATAGCAACATGTGAGTCATCCCATGCATCAAATATATGTTTCATCAACTCAATACCAGCATCGGTTGTAGAGCGACCCCTAGTGAGACCAAATTGTTTAAGAGACATTAAGTTATTACTATAAACATGTGCACCCATCTGATTTAGAATATTTTTTTCAAATGTTTTACTGAGAATTGGTAGTATTGACATAGGTCTAAAATTGGTGGGGTCTGAAATACTACCAGGTTTGAAAAGTGGAATAACTTTACTTTGCTTCATGAGGTCAGGAAAAACACCATCATCAACACATTTGTTAAAGACACATGCTAAGTGAGGCGCAATACAATCAACTATAGAACTAATTACTCTGACTGAAAGACAATCAAGATCAGCAGTATTTTCTATGTTTATAGACTTAAAGGTTTAATAGTCGTTTGGGAATACATAACGGAACCTTATATTAGTGTACTAATTGCATTATTTTCTTTTAGTAAGGATTCAGCGGCGGTGGGAGATGAATTTAACGACTTAGTAGTCAAAATTGAAATGTCAGTAAAAAAAAGTCAAATATTTTAGCAACTTCTGCGTCTGTGTTTACAATTTTGTCATTAAACCTTAGTTGAAAATCTAAGTTACGAGGTTTGACCCTTCAAGTTTCGCTGTTTATAATATTCCAAATCGTTTTTACTACATTCGCGCTGCTTTTAATTTTATTATTAATATATATACAAACACGTTTAAATATTTTCGAATACTTCATTTCATCGTAAAGATCAAATAGCCTTTGTCTACTTTTGTGAATTCCCACTGTCGCCCAATCACTAACTTTCAATGAATTATTATCACGTTCACTTTTCACTATGTTGAAAACTGAATTATACAATTCATTGGGATCGTTAACATACGGAATGTCAGTCAGTTCAAGCATTACGTTATTTCTATAAGCTTTAAGTCGACCATTATTCATCGCAACAAATGTGATATCCTTTCTTGGCATTTTGTCAACAGTTATATTAAAAGTTGCCAACTGACCGCAGTGATCAGAAGTTAAGTTATTTATAATAAATTTCTTACTAGGTACGGCGTTAGTATAAATGTTGTCTAAACAAGTGGCTGTAGTAGAAGTTATTCTAGTAGGCAAGGCAAGAAAAGATTTACAAGATTATAACATTGGAAAAATTATATGAGCCTACTGCTAGCACTGGAATCTTCTAATAAGTTAATATTGAAGTCGCCACAAACAGCTTTATTTGGATTATTTAATTTGCCTAAAACTTTATCTTATGTTTTTTCAAATAGTTCGTAAGATGAATGACGGGGTCTGTACACGCTTAATACAACAAGCCGTTCAAGCTCTGTGCAGGATATCTCTATAGACCGCTCAATAGACAGGCTCACAATATTTAAATTATTTTTAATAAGAATTAAAGAGCCGCCATGGGTAGCTTTTTCTCTGCAGAACGAAGTAGCCACCTCGTGATTGTTGAAGCTAACCATAAACTGATGTTTAGATAAAAAGTGGTGCTCAGTAATACAAAGAATATCAATATTATTACAGTTAATAAATAATTCTATTTCTAACTCTTTGCCTTGCATATTTTGGTGCACCAGGTTTAATATACAATTTATTTTATTTCTGCGTGTTTTAGGTTGTTTTTTTACTGTCACTGTGTTGCAAGAGGATCTCTCCGTTGTCTTATTAATTAATTTAAACAATTGGAAGTTGAATTATTTTTAACAGATTGATTATTGTCAGTAAACTGACCTATGTCAATGGACTGCTTAATAGAAGCAGCCGGTCTGGTAGCCAACGATTTGGCTGAATTATTAATATAATATGATAGCAACTCTGCTATCTATCTCTTAAAATAACTAGTAATATAATACTTAATCTTTAGTCAAATAAAAATGTTTACTAATGAAATTATTAGTACCCATAAAATGAAATTTACTGTAATGAATACTTCGGCTAGCCTGCTGAAGCATCATTGTGGTAGTTTATGTGACTGTTACATAATGAAAGGTATTAATATACGAGTGTGAGTTTATGAAACGAGCCGACAGGTGAGCGACAGACGACAGGCGAGAGGCAACACTGCAGTCTGACGAAAGAATCGGACGCCTATCGGACGTGTATTGAGTGAATCCGATCCGATAGTCGGATCCGAACATCAGACACAAAATCGGATACGTATTCCCGCGCTAAGGGTAGTTTTGAAAAACATAAAAGCTTCTTTATTTCGAGGTTTGGTGGTGAAACTATATTAGATAACTATCTACACAATGAATAATATAATATAGAGAACATAGTTTTTAAAAGTTTAAAAAATTGGTTAATGTTAGCCGTAGTTTGTATAAGTTTAATAAACTTATTCTACAGAATTATTAGTTAAGTTCTTTCCACTAAAAAATTGTAGAGGTTTTAACACCAAATCAACGAATTGTTTAATTTTAGGTTATTCGACTCAAGGAATTATTTCCTTACAAACTTCCTTTTAAGATATCGAGGGAAGCACAGCAAATGCAATTTATTTAGAAATGTTCTCTATGATTTTCGATAATTTTATCAAACTCCATTTTGTCGATCGAAATAGAAACACAATCGCAAACTAACATCCAGAAAAAGAAGAACAATTTTTAATACATCATTTACATGATAGTAGCGTTATATCTGGATAGATATTGCATAATTCTAAAATCACTGACACATTTAAACTTTATTTACATTAAATATGACTTTAATTGATAAAACAAAGGAACTGATTAGATATTGCAACACGTGATATATGTTTTAAAATATACCAATTCCAATTTTTTATTCTTGATTTGAGACAGCTTTATGTTTGGGGCCCCCGTCCCAACACGTTATTTTTTTATAATATCAAGGGACGGGACGAAGAAGTCGTGCGCCTGATGGTAAGGTACACGCCTGTCCATAACAGTTGCAGTGCCACTCAGTCTTTTAAATCGCAAAATTCCATTGACCCTTATATTTACGACCCATCGATATGTGCCTGTAATTTCATCAGCACTCCTACCCTTCAAAACCGGAACGCAGTAATGCTGACATTACTGCAGAAATAGGTAAGGTGACAGTACTTCCCTGGACGAACTCATTAACAACCAGCTCTACTACTTGTAAACCTCCTAGATAGTATCTAATCCTGAAAATACTTCCTTAACAACCAACCTATCTAACTTTGTGTTAATGTTAGATAGAATTGATTATTACATATAGTAAATTTTGTGCACCTGCAAGATAAAATTAATCTTTAGTTCCATAGGTTGAAGAGCTACATTGTAATATTTCTTTTGTATTCACATGTGAATTAATCATAAAATTTACATCTACTATCATAGCGTTAATGCTATAGATATAGGGTTGAAAATGTGTCAGTACATGTGGCTGTATAATTACGATAGATTTGGCCTTGAATCGAGTCAGTTCGCCGGTTGCTGTAATCGACTGAGGAGCTTCTACGTAACGGTGAGCTCGTTTTTTAATGTTGTTTTATTAGCAAAATGTCTTTGTAGATGTTATACATTGTAATCGCATGAAGACACTAGTGTTGCGCACGCGAAGCTATGTTCAGGTTATGTTCAAAGTACTTTTTTCGTAAAGTCATGAGGCCTTATCTCACATGAAACTAAATACTGTCGTAACTCAAAATTATGGAATTGAGACACGATTTGAAAATTTTCAACGGAATTCACTTTACGGCACTTGGCAGAAGAAACAATTTAGAAAAGTTCATATCCCAAATTAATCCTACTAGGAATGGAACCCAGGGCACTTTTATCCAGCGCTCATAGTACAAACCGTTGGGCCACCGAGATCGAGGAACATTGATTTAGCATTTACATCGTATTTAGTGTATTCCAAATTGAATAAATAATTATAACTTTTTTTACAAAAAACGGCAGACCTCAAACTTTCGTGGAATTACATCTATTTGCCAAATTTTATTGAAATCTGTTACCGGAAAGTGCACGAAACAAACTCACTTCAAGCTTCTTTCTTTCTTCTTATTCTTTCCAACAAAAAAAAGAATCGTCAAAATCGGTTCACTAATGCCGTAGTAATCACAAAACAAAATACACTCGAGTTAAGAACCTCATCCTTTTTTGAAGTCATTTAATAAAAATATCACTTTATTTCTAAAAAGATTCATTTCTTTCTTTCTTTCATCCATTCATTTCTCAATACCACGATTTTGAGATACGACAGTAGGTATTTGGTTTCACGTGAATTATTTATAACGTGACCATACGTCCCGCTTTGAGCGAGACAGTCATTTCAGGCTTCGGATCCCGCTGTCCACAAAATACTTAAAAATGTTCAGCTTTGATAAAACTAGAAAACAGAACAAATATAACAATAAATTAAAAAAAAAATAGCGCGTAAGCGAAAAATACAAAACCAGCCAACGACATCGAGCACTAGACTACACAAGAATATAGTTCTTATTTTAAAATTTGATTTATTAAACAATTTTAGTTCTTTTTATTTTTTATCATTGAAGATAATTATCATAGACATGTCTTTTATTTTTTAAACAATAACAAATTTACAGGCGTTCCGCTCTGAGGGGAAAAAATAATTCACTTATGTAATTAGTTATGTATGTAGCGTACGGATAGCGATAAATAGCGTGTCTAGTCGCTGTCATTGTAGTGTTGCCATAGTGGTTACACCACTTAATAATTTGCAAATATCAATAAGACCACATCTGCAAAATTTTAATAAATAAATTTTATACAAAGGTGCGATTTACTTTGCATATATGTCTTTGGCACCACGATCTAACGCAATCTAAGGGACTTTTCAACTTATTTTTTTTTAAAGTGACGGGACAAACAAGTCGTGCGCCTGATGGTAAGCTACACGCCTGTCCATAACAATTACTAACATAATTAACTGCAATTAGATCCCAGTTTCGATTCCCGGGTCGGGAAAAATATTTGTATGGTTTACATTTATTTCTCTCGTGAGTTTTGGTGTAATTTGTGGTTGTCTACGTGTGTGTCCAGGGCACCCGCGACACAGGGTTTTCCTATGTTGAGTATGTGCTTTATTATTATTATAATTGCAGTGGCACTCAGAAATTTAAATCGCAAAGATCTAAGGGGCACTGACAAAAGTTGATAAGTCCCGTCACTTCGTAGGTATCATAAAAAAAAATCAGAGCCGTGTGCTATGTGTGTTAACACAGTTTTGTTCCCAGGTCAAACATGCAGACAGAAAATCTGACAGAGTACATCCTGGTTGAGTACCGATGGATTATCGTGCTCACATGCCTATTGCCCATGTCCTTCGCGTGGAAGCTGTGGTCAACTTTCAGAAACTATGTGGTATTCAAGTTGAACAGCGCTCCGAAAATGCATGATCGGAAGGTGCAGGATGTGCAGAGGCAGGTGAGGATAGAAATCATTTAGTACCAGTAGAGCTTCTTTTGAAAGAGTTCGTCCAGGATAGTACTGACACCTTGCCTATTTCTGCCGCCAAGCAGTGAAGTCAGCATTACTATATTCCGGTTTTGAAGGATAAGGGTGCTGGTGAAATTACAGACACAGTCTCAGAGTGACGGGCGCAGCGGCAGTGCCCCTCAGATCTTTGCGATTTAAAGCTCTGAGTGGCACTGCAACTGTTATGGACAGGCGTGTAGCTTACCAACAGGTGCACGACTTGTTCGTCCCGTCACTTAATATTATACAAAAAAAAGTTAAAATTAATATATGTCAATTTATAGAAAAAATTTAATAATTATAAAGAAAACTAAAACCCGTTTTACAAGGTGTTAAATGAACGTTACGAACTTCTTCACTTCTTGATACACATTGCGATTGCGATGATTTTTATTTTTTGTACATCGATACCTCCATGCACACTACGCCAACTTAATTTTTGGACCTGTTCTGTACTTATTTTGTTTCTTTGGTTTTTTTCACTAATTAATAATTTTGTTTTATTTTTCGAATTTTGTTTTTTGTTCCTTTTTTTCACAAAATTCTGGGATTATAATATTAGTAAATAAGTGGTCTGTGGTAAATAAATATGGTTGTTTACAAAAATAACAGAAAATGACCAAGAAATAAAGTTGGCGTAGTGATTGTAGGAGGTATCGATATTATAACTTTCTGGCTTACCAGTCTTATTACAGACCCCAAATCGGATTTAAATATCTAGCCTAGACAATCTAGACAAATACAACGATACGTTGAGTTTGGATCTGTGAGGGAACAGATGAACACACGCATATAAGATACATACATACGTTGATAAAACCGTAACTCTGTATTTCACTCCGCCATTGTCGAATAAATATAATAGAACACCTGTGTTGTTTATTAAGTGATAAGGATATAAATGATAAATTAAATGTTATGTTAAGTAATCAATCACCGTCAAGTGACTTTCAAAGTTCGACGACCTCGGTGGACCAATGGTCTGTACTGTGGGCACTGGATGAGGAGATTCCAGGTTCGATTAGGTAGGATTACTTTGAGAAACGAACTTTTCCAAATTGGTTCTGATTCGTATGTTCTGGGTTGAGCCCCGGAGTAAAATCCGGTGCTCTGGTAATACACATAGTACTTATATGAAATTTTCTAGTTTGCGTTCGGGCAATTGGTGTGGTTGCTTAGAATAATATAACGAGGCGCATTGATAATAATTATACCTTTTATAAAAAATAATAATAAACCAACTTCAAAACTTTGTGAATGTGTAATTGTAAGGTGGTAGATGTAATTACATCTACATATTTGCCAAGTTTTATCGAAAATGGCTAACGGAAAGTGGTTGAAATCCAATAAACGTGATTTATCCCTTAATTTGCTACCCTTAGAGGAAGAATATTTCCTTCAAATTTAAATGGAACCAATACTGAGGTACAGTCTTTCCGACAAAAGAAGAATCATTAAAATCGGTTCACAAATGCCGCCGGAGTTATCGCGTAACTTACATACAAAAAAACATATACAGGCGAATTGAGAAGCAACTCCTTTTTTTTGTAGTCAGTTAAAAAATTATAAAGCAAATGTGGCCTTATTACTAAGGGATTTATTTTGCGAATTCTTCAATTTCGCAAAAGTCTATACACGGCGGTTACTTTTTCCAATAAGTGTACAATCTGATTGTTTTTCGGCATGGTATTCACACAATAATAGCATCACTGCGGAAAAATGAGCTAGAGAAAAAAAGGCAAACTTATAAATACAATAGAGAACAGAACGGAGAACATCTTTGGACACTTGTTACGTAATGACAAATTTCTGAGAATTGTACACTCATCAGAAGTATCTAGGGACCAAGCACGTTTTTCCTAATCAATGAAAATTAGGTTTTTATTGAATTTTTTAACACTAATAGTTTTTGTTTGGGTCGATTTCATTTTCAAATTCAAATTATAAAATGGACAAAAACCCAGCAGTGTTAAAGAAAATTGAAAAACCTTATTTTCACTAATTGGCAAGTGCTTGATCCTAGACACTTTTGATGTGTGTAACTGAAGGAAGATAGTAGGGAAAAGAAAGAGGAAGACCAAGAATGGCACACATTCAACAAATAAAGAAGAACATAAAAGTGAGCAGCTATAAAGAGGGTCAATGAGCTGGCTTTGAATCATGAGGAGTGGAGGAAGCTACACTGACAAACAAGAGCATGACTCTTAAATAGGATTATGACGACTGACAATTTAAAAATGCTAAAAGTTATATCCTTGCCAGTTACTTGCAAGTGCCATCCTTTATTTTAACCCTTCTCTTACCACATTACAGGTGAAGTCGTGGCTAAACGGCGACCACAGCACACGTCTGTGCACGGCTCGACCCACCTGGCAAACAATGTCTTTCCGCCACAGTCTTTACAAGAAGACCTTCACTAAAATTCACGTTAATCTCGTGGATGTACTCGAAGTCGATACTAAGAATATGGTACGTGTCATTTAGATCTGTAAAATCAGTAAATTTAGCCGCATTTACATTTATCTGACGAGTCGTGTCGTGACGCGTCATAACAGTATCGGTTTGATACGTTTAATATGTTTAGATTTATATTTGTGTGTCGCAATCTGACGTGACGGCTTGTGCTGTGTGTATGAAACCGATACCGTTCTGACGCGTCACGGCATGACACGTCAGACAAGTGTAAGGCGTACACACCAAAGATACACACACACTAATAACACACTTATGTGTTTATATGTATATATCGCAGCCGTATTGTATAAAGCCCTGTATTACTTTACGGCTAGATGTTTTGCAAAACGGCGCTGTTTTCTAATATAGCTGCCTCGTGTTCGGCTGGATTGCAAATCGCCTAAAAAAAGTACGCCACATTGTAATAGCACATGGTGCTTCACAAAGCGGCTAAAAAATGCGCCGCCGGAATACAATAGGACGCATCATTGTTATGCTGCTTTGAGATACTTTGTTCCAAATATAACCGCCAGTAGAGCTACATTATAATATATGATTAACAACAAAAATTGCGTCCCAAACAGCAACTGTAGCCGAAGAGCTCCGTAAGCAGCAGTAATGTTAGCATTACTGCGTTCCGGTTTTGAACGGTAGGAGTGCTGGTGAAATGATAGGCACATGGGACTTGTCAACTTATGTCTCAGGGGTCACCTTGGCATAAGTTGGCGTAAGTTGGGCGCAGTGGCAGTGTCACTCAAATCTTTGCGATTTAAAGCTCTGAGTGGCAATGCAACTGTTATGGACAGGCATGTAGCTTACCATCAGGCGCACGACTTGTTCGTCCCGTCACTTGATAATATAAAAAAAGCTGTCTCAACAAAGCGCTGTTTGCGCTTGTTATTAGTTTTAGGAGTGGAAAAAAGCAAAAATTTGCTTGAAAATAATGGTAAACATAAGTAACAAATTATTTCTCTTCTCATAATTACTCTTCTTAAAAAAAGTAATAAAAGTTCCGAAAACTTATGTCGTAAAGTAATTGTGTCAGAGAACAAATAAGTAATGAGAACGGACACTCTCCGTCTCTCTCTAGCTTTAGATACCGCACCAAACCCCGCACATTGACGGTCACATTGACTGAACGAGAACAAGGCTGTCGGCGAGCCGTTTTCGCCAGAGAATAAAGAATAAGAGAACGGACACAATCCGCCCCTCCCTAGTTTTAAATACCGCACCACGCCCCGCACATTGCCGGTCACATTGCATTGACTGAATAACAACAAGGCTGCCGGCAAGCTGATTTCGCGCGAAGACGGATTTGATATTTGAACATGGTTTTCATTTATTCATTACGAAACTTGTAAGTTAATATTATAACATCATTTTACGTTACTATTTATAATGATCGTGAATTGTGCTGTGTATGGCTGTTTATCGTCATTTTCCGAAAGATGAAACGAAATAAGTAAAAAAAAACTTATGTCTGAGACTCATTCAGTAATTGTTTTCTTCATTTATTTACTACAGAGTAATATATGTATGTATAAAAAATACAGATTTATTATATCAATATAATGAGACGCCATGACTTCGTGAATTTTTTATTCGTATTGCCGATAAATATTACGTAGGTAGTGAATATATCTAATTATTAACTAAACTTGGACAAGCAATTTCAAATAACTTGATTACCTTACTTAAAAGTACATGACCGAAATATAACATTTTAAGTGCTTTTAATAAGAATTAGAATTTTCGCTATGTTACCGCTCTGACCACGTAACTTAATAGTGCGAGTAAGTGATGGTAACCCTGCCACTTCACGCACACATTTGCGCGTGTGCAGTTAGCGCCTTGCTGTATGTAGTAGTAGTAGGTAAATAATTTTCGACTGTTGTATGGAGTGTCCGGGGTGTGGTTTTCGCGCTAAGATGGCTTTGATATTTGAATATAGTTTTCATTTATTAATTACGAAATTTGTACGTTAATATATAACTTCATTTTACATTATTGTTTTTAATGGTCGTGACTTGTGCTGTGTACGGCTGTTTATAATCATCTAAACGGGATAAAGAGAGGAGTTTGTTTCGTTTTTTGAAAGATGTAACGTAGTAAGTAAATAAAATTATGTCTGATGGTCGTATTCCAGAACTCTACTCAATGCTCAAGTCAGGACTTGAGTATTGCAGTGAGCACTGAAAATCATAAACAAGTCCTTGCCATTAGGGTCGTATTTCCAGTGCTTGTGTTTCCAGTGCAATCCTGACTTGAGCATTGAGTAGAGTTCTAGAATACGACACTGAGACTCATTCAGTTATTGTTTTCTTTAGTGCAGAGTATATAATACAGATTTATTGTATCAATATAAAAAGACGCCGTAACTTCGTGAGCTAGACAAGGGTTCTTGAATTTTAAATTTTTATTGCCGATAAATATTACGTAGTGAATTTACCTAATTATTAACTAGGTAATGATAAAGTTCGACACGCAATTTCAAATACTTTGGTTACCTTTTTTTAAAGGTACCTGTCGAAAGTGCTTTTAATATATTTTTTAAATAAATCTTCAATATTATTCTAGTTATTGAATGAATGAAAAATATTATATTATATCGATAAAAATACGTAATGAACATGTGTAATTATTAGGATTCTGTAATAGAATTATAGATAACAAATTCGCGCTAGATTTTTCGCTATGTTACCGCTCTGATCACGTAACGTAATAGTACGAGCAAGTGATGGGTAACCCTGCCACTTCACGCACACATTTGCGCGTGTGTAGATAGCGCCTTGCTGTATGTAGTAGTAGTAGTAGGTAAATAATTTTCGAACGTTGTATGGAGTGTCCGGGGTGTGATTCTGTATAAAAAGCGCGTATTATGATTTTACACTTTTCGATTACAGACAGTTCGCTGTGAGCCGTTAGTAACAATGGGTCAACTGTCTAGAACCCTGAAACCTCTCGGCCTAGCATTGGCAGTGGTGCCAGAATTAGATCAACTGACTGTTGGAGGGATGGTCATGGGCACCGGCATAGAGACGTCTTCGCATATTTATGGATTATTCCAGCATATCTGTTTACAGTACGAGCTTGTATTGGCTGATGGATCTGTTGTCACTTGCAGTAAGGTAAATAAATAAGTAACTAAAGCACTTGTGTATTGGAAATCGGAAACAACGACGATACCACAAACAAGCAGACCCGAGACAATATTGACCCGACCCGAGATAATACAAAAGTTAGTTTTCTACATATTTCCGGCCGGGAATAGAGATGGCGACACAATGAAAACCGGTATGCAGGCCACTCGGCCACGGAGGGAGGCTCTAAAACGACGCAACGTAAATTGAGCCATTGAGATCGGGTAGTGCAATGAGCGTATAAATGTGTGGTGTCTCTAAAGGCACACGATATGTTCGTACAAACTAGAAAATTTTGATTTCAGGATAACAATCCTGATTTGTTCTACGCTGTGCCTTGGTCTTATGGCACTCTTGGATTTCTTACTTCGGTTGTCATCAAAGTTGTTCCTGCGAAAAAGTAAGAACTGAACGTTATAACTTAGACTTTTTCAAGGGTATAGTGGATAGGCATTATAAATTAGAGGTGTGCTCCAATGTCAACATCATCCTCACTTTCTATTAGGTGGATGGAGGTCAAATAAGCACTTGGTATACACATATGTGGTATAATGTAACGGGCTGTTGTCCGCAACTCAACGTCCAGGCGTCTATTTTGCGTAAGGTGGGTGCAGCGTCCAGGTTCTAAGAATCTCAGCGCCCTCCTGGGTTTGCTAAAGTCTTCGGAGAGCGACCTCGGCACTCCAAGGTACTTAGCCCTCTAGTTGGCCACACCGGAGCACTGTAGTAGGATGTGTGCGGCCGTTTCCTCCTCCTCCACGCATGCTCTGCATAGAGGACCATGACCCATTAGAGCGATTGTTAGAATGAGCACTTATTTTACCTTAAAATAATTTGTAAACCTTTTTCTGTTCCTATCTAAGAAGATAACTATAATAAAGTGAAATATACCTATTGACTCCGAAAGACTGTGGACTGTCAAACCCTTTTCACTATGAGAATCCGTTAACGGAACCACCGGTTGTCAGGTACGTGCGTCTAGAATACCACTCCTACACGAAATTATCGGAACTAGCAACGAGGTTCAGCCAGGAGTCGTTGAAAAAGGGTCCTCATCAATTCGTCGAAGCTTTGGTATACTCTAAGGATACTGGTGTTGTGATGCTAGGCGACATGGTTGATAAAATCGGGAAAGATGGAAAGGTACGTAGTTAATTGCTTAGAAAGATTTATAATAACAGTGAATACACTGATGACTACACGGTGTGAAAACACGATTGTTAAAAATTTTCACAATAGAAAAAATACACAAACTTACCTCGAAATTTTACCAGAAAACCGCTGTATTCAATTGGTACTTTACATATACCAATGTTTTTATTTTATATCAACTGAACTAAATAGAACACGTGTACTATACGATATACATTTTTCAAATGTTTTTAATTTCGTTTGTAAAAAAATAAATTCTGAAATAAAGCCAGTGTCTCAGCCGCTCGACCCAAGCAAAATGAACCGTATTAGTACGGGAAGTATTAGTAGCATCGACTCTTAACTGCCAGCTACTCTGCGATCAAACTCTGAGACAAACCTCAGGCTTACTTAATTTGAATGTGCCAAAAATGAATCATCTGAAAGATAACGGCGCATAATCTAATCAAACATCAAAATATTTGTAGTTCAACCCGATAGGAAAGTGGTACTCGCGATGGTTCTTCACCCAAGTGCAGGACTATCTGAAGAGATATCAGAAAGGAGTGAGAGAGACCGCCGTAGAGTACATTCCTTTGAGAGATTATTACCATAGACACACTAGGAGTCTTTTCTGGGAATTACAGGTAATTTTTTTTTATAAAAAAATATTATTGTGTGTTTGATTTATCAAAAACTATTATAAATGCAATTTTAAGACTGGTATATTGAACGCCATTACCATAAGTCCTTGTTAAAAATTTGAATTTGTAAAATCGAGTAAAAGTTTTTCTTCGATGATATAACAATGTTTTTGTACGAGGTGGCTCGAATTTTTTGTTTTGTTTTGTTCGAACGTGTCAACATTCAGCCTTATATTCTGTTTTTGTTTTTTTTTTCAGGATATTATCTCTTTCGGAAATAATCCAATCTTCCGCTTCCTATTTGGCTGGCTAATGCCTCCAGAAGTGTCTCTATTGAAACTGACACAACCTGACGCTGTGGCGAAATTATATGAGCGCGCTCACGTCATACAGGATATGCTTGTGCCCATAGATCGGTTGGAGAAGGCTATTGGAGAGTTCCATAAAGAATTCCAGGTACGGCTGGATTATGTCATGATTGTGGATCGGAAAACTCGTATTTCAAAACAGATCTTCTTCGTGGTACACTTCATGTCATCATTATCAGCAGCTACTGAGGCGGTCTTCAATTAGTGGTAGTGCACTTCAGTCCACTTTATCATGCAACCACGTTTATTGCTACCATCCAGCTGCCTTTTCTAGGGTACCTTGTCTTCGAAGGTGCCTACCCTAGAAGGTGCAGCTAAATGATTACCATGTAACATGATTATTGTGACTGGGTTGTCATCAAAATCATCATTGTCAATATGATAAAACTGAAAATCTTTATTTTCCTGTACAAACTTTGTGGTTAGGACGACGAAAAGTTGAAATTTGCATACGTACCATTAAGGACAACGTCCAAATTTTGTCTTTATTTAAAGACAAGAAGAGCAAATAAAATAAACGTTTTATTTATCTACCTATCTATCTAACATAATATTTCAAATCAGTAGTATAATTTCAACCGAAATTCAACCAAATTGTTGATACTAGAAATGTGTAAATATGCAATTACATGAAATTATGTAAATACCACTATGTAGCATATTGTCACGTAAATACCATTGTGATACCCAGAACAACAAAGTTTTTTTTATAATGCCGTGTAAGATCTTAGGAGTACTGCCACTGCGCCCGTCACCCTGAGATATAGGTTGACAAGTCCCATGTGCCTGTAATTTCACCAGCACTCTTACCCTACCAAAACCGGAAAACAGTAATGCTTACGTTACTGCTTGGCGGCAGAAATAGATAAGGTTGACTTCACTGGAAGAAATCTTTTACAAGGAACTCTATTGTTACTAACTTGATCATAACATAAACTTCAGGAGGATAGCTACTCTTTTGTACATACTTCCTGATCAATTAAACAGAAACTAATTCTGTCAAACCAGAAATAGAACGTTTTTGAAATTTTGACTTGTTACACAGTGGGATCAAAGAGTAATCAACTCTGTAGCGTCCAAAGACAGCCACTTGTTATTGGACCATATTTGCTGCATAGTATAACTAAAGTGATAGGTAATCTAACTCAGGCCTGTTCAGCGTGTCAGCGGAGCGTAGGGTTGTCACATTATTATTTTAGTTTCAGGTCGCAAAACAATGTTTGAAAAAAGTACTCTTTCATCACAATATTCTCATGCTATATTGAAAGAACCTTTGTCAAATGCAGTACTTACATATTGATATTTTTGTATCAGCATCGCGGGCTAATATCTCGATTGCGGGAAATATGATCCTGAAATAGAAATGGAATGTGTGAGATACAGGTTTATTTAAAAAATACTAACAACCTTGCAGGACTAACTAACTATATTTTTTTATGATACCAAGTTGTGCGCCTGGTGACACGCCTATCCATAGCAGTTGCCGTGCCACACAGAGCTTTACATCGCAAAGATCTGAAGAACACTGGCACTACGCCTGTCACCTTGAGACATAAGTTGACAAGTCCCATGTGCCTGTAATTTCCGGTACCCTTACCCTACCAAAACCGGAACACAGTAATGCTTACATTACTATATATATACTTCCCTAGGCGAACTGTTTCACAAGGAGCTCTACTGCTACTAAATATTTTATGGTGGCCTTGTACGAACAACAGCACATCAGACTACACATTTTTGTTCGAAAATCGCCTCCAGTGCAACGGAACAAGATACGTCAATGTGTAGCTTGACGTGCTGTTGACTGTACTTAGTGGACTAAAAAGAGCTAATTAAGGTGGTGTAATGAATTAGTGATATTATATCGCTTTCAGGTGTACCCAATATGGCTTTGCCCGTTCAAGCTGTTCAACGAACCAGGCTTGCTGAAAGTTCGCTCTGGTGACTGGCAGATGTACGTCGATATTGGCGTGTACGGAGTACCTAAGGCTAAAGGATTTGAGACTGTGAGTTTTATAATTATTAATATTAGAGGTTAAAGTATGAAATTGCCGTTTCGTACTAATCTAATCGGAAGGTCATTTAAACATTTGCTATTTATATATGCTGTTTTGCTGCGAGTTTTGCCGTCATTGTTCAAATACCATAGGTCATATTGTGGGTATGCTAACATTAAACCCAAAATTCATTGGTAGTTTGATACGGATCGGCTTCCATCATCACTTTCAATTCATCTTTATTTACCTTAGTGACTGGTCTTCCTCGTGATTTATTTTTCAAGTCGGAATTTCGAAAATTGTCGAAAAACGCACTTGCGTTCGTTACTCGTATCCTGTCCAAACACAGCATGGACATTACGTGTAATTTCTGCTGCGTTAACACCATGTGGGAACTCGAATATTGGAAAATTACTCTGATGTTTGATCCGTCTTCACGTTAAAAACTGAATGTAAAAACAATTACATTAGTCTTCATAAACGTATAAAAAATATTTTTGCGCCAGTGATTAAAAAGCGAGGTTAGTATTGGTTATAGTTCCAGTATAAACGGGAAAATTTATTTATTTTTTTTCAGATACCTTCAACCCGTCGCATCGAGAAGTTCGTGACTGCCAACCAAGGGTTCCAAATGTTATACGCAGACACTTACACGACTCGTGATGAGTTCCGGCAAATGTTCGACCATACACTGTATGACAAAGTGAGAGACAGACTGCCATATTGCAAGGAGGCTTTCCCAGAGATTTATGGAAAGGTTAATAGAAGTGTTAGAAAATGATATTGTACATATTTTGAATTTAGTACTTATAAATATAATAAATTATGTGTTTTTTGTGCCTTCCTTTATTACGTAGTACAATAAGCCCAAGTAAGGTAACTCCATACAAACGTAGCATCGCGATTTGTATGTGTGCACCACGGACCGTATACGGATGCACACACTGACACTCGCAGTGCACTTGCGTTGCAAAGGGGGAGATCGTCGCACACGCCAATCAATAGAATTGAAGCGTGCGCTCGGTATTTATCTACGGTTGTTTGAACAAGAGAGAGAATAAGGCACTTCCTATCGTATAACGAATTAGCACATTCTTTAGACAATATAATGGGTTCGCGCGCCAACTCTGCTTCGCGCATTTGTAACCGCTCAAATGGAAACATGAAGACGTTACTAAAACGTCTTGCTTCTTTTTTTATTTTAGTCTTAATTTATTTTTTTATTTTGTATAAGTACAATTTAAAATGAATGGTACTGAATAAAATTTTCTTTCTTCTTCACTCGCGTTCACGAACATACTGCGCTCCGCTTTGTGTTCGTGCAAAAACCTCTGGTGGGTATCCATTATGTTCGCGCATCAACTCTGCTCCGCACATCTGTAACCGCTCAAATAGACGTTACGCGCATCAGTACAAAAATACTAAGTGCTCCATCGGTTCGCGCATCGACTCCGCTCCACGCATCTGCAATTGCTCCACAGTTTTCATTTGAACGTTGAGCGAACACGAATGTTGCTTTGTTCGCATCCACGAACACACTGCGCTCCGCTTTGTATTCGCGTAAAAACCGCCAAAGCGCGGAACGTGCAAGCAACGTTGCCTGCGAACGTTTCCACTAAAGGAGCATTTGCAGATGCGCGGAGCGCAGTTGATGCTCGAACCTAATGGATACCTTCATGTGAATCGTGTCTTCTTGTAAGACCGTTACTTAATAGCAAATTAAAAACCATTGATCTAGGAAAGCAGTTTTCCTCGCTCCTCCTCCGGTGACCCGCCGTATGAAAACCTTAGCGACCAATTTCGTTTGTAGAATCGCTGAAACTTTTTTATCGGAAAGTTGTCATTTTACAGATGTGGCTATTTGACTACATTCGGAAGCGAATCTTTTTATGTAGGTACCCTTAGAATAATAACGCATAGAAACCTAGCCCGCACACGCTAAGTGAGGCAAGTTAGAGGGTTCCAAACGCGTCCCAGGAGCGCGCGGGCTGTTAGTGCTCAAGGTCATATTGCACCGCGAACAGCTCCAAAATTTTTTGCTAAAAATGACGAAATGTGCGGTAAATGGGTGTAAAAATACAACAGACAAACATAAAATAGACACTAACATCGCATTCCACAAGTAAGTAATGCGTTTCAACTCATATTTTTATGTAAATATTCACTAAAACAGAAAAATAATTTCGCGGCAACAAGATACGAAAGTGTTGCAAAGTAACGAATTTTTTTTCTCCCCATTTTGCTATTCTGTATCAAAATAATTATATTACGTAAATTTTAGTGGTGCCTGTAATTTAGATTTATTTGCGCATCTTGAACTAATATTTACTTTAATAAACATTAAATGTTTTCGTTAACTCCTGTAAGTGATTGGGACACTTAATTATTTTATAATACTTTTAACGGCTCTGCGTTCATGCTTTATTGAATAATTATTTATTTTAATTTTTTTTGAATTGGAGCACATATTGCAACAAATTTACAGTACTTATATATTTGTTTCTACTATAGTGTTGGCACCACCAGTACAACTTTGATAGCTTATTATATGTCTTTCTTTTCGTAACTCAAGCGAAATATTTTATATTAAAATATTTTATTTTCTTAAAAGGGGAGCATTCTTAAGCGATTTTTTAATCTATTTTAACAGTTATTTTCTTTAATGTTTGCTTATGGCATTTTCGGTTTTAGGTTTCGAATATGGCACTTATTTCTAAATCCAAGATGCGGGCGCGATTTTTCGAATAATGGCAAGTTGGGTATCGTTTTCGAGATGTTTGGGAATGTTCAATACAAATATGGCACTCATTTCTAAATCCAAGATGGCAAACACGACAGTTCAAACAAAAGCAATATTCGTAATGAGCACCCCCAAATACCTCGAAAACGATACCCAACTTGCCATTATTTGAAAAATCGTGCCCGCCATCTTGGATTTACAAATAGTGCCATATTCACATTGAGCATCCCCAAATACCTCGAAAATGATACCCACATAGCATTTTTTTGAAAAAATCGTGCCCGCCATCTTGGATTTAGAAATGA